CACACCTTTTACAGGTTAATAATCAAAGGAGGTGCAAACCAAAGGACACAAAACTAACGGAAAGACGCTCACTCCAGTCAGCGCACATAAAAACGTGTCCTAACAAAAGTAAAGGCAACTGTTTCATGAAGGCTTATAGGTTGTAGGCGGTGCATTAAGGGCAGAGGCGTTTTAGTGATAAAATTCAGCAATTTGACTTGCTTAGGTAAGTACCTACTGAAAAGAACCTGTGGGCAGTGGGCACGGATTATTATCACCTTCAAAAGGCTAAAGGTACCATGTTTGTCCCATAATATCGATGCAATTGTTGGGAGATGTCCCCAGCCAAAACACATTATACTGCCGCAAAATACTGCTCTCTTCATTCCCCTTCTTTAGTTGGTTATCAGCGTGTTATGCCACATTAAATCCGTGCAAGACCGTCCCAAAAAATCAGTTCACATGGCTACCTTACTCGTGGCACGCTGTAAAGCCGGCACCACGTAATTCTGCAGATGCACCTGACCGTGTGTTCACAGCGCCAAATGATCTCGCGTTCCTACGCGCAATTTACTGGCTGACTAAACGACTGTCTTTGGCCGCGTAATCAACCTCAGATTTCATTTCGTCACGTCGACCAGAGTGGAAATGTGAATGGAATCGTATAAAAGTTAGATGCAGAGATTCACTACTAAGTTTTCATAGGTACTATCTTTTGATGGCGATTCGAATACGCAAACATTCGAAGTCGAAAGTTTTTCGTGCGAGTGGTACAGGCAAGGCCCAAAAAAATCTTTCTGCATATTTGTGACTTTAAATGATTGTTTTTATTATAGTGAGTTGCTTTACCTAATTTATCTAATGAGTAATGACGTTTAGTTGTGAATATTTTATTTACTCTACAAAAGTAGAGTATTGAGTATAGTTGCAAGCATACAAACATTAAGTAGTAAACTAATTTTGATCAGAGGTTTGAATCTATGCTTTAGTTTTTATTGTGTTTTCAGCTTATTTCATAATATCAATCAAGTAAAGCTTACCATAGAACACTAAGCAGTTTCCTTTATTAATTTGTGTAACCACAATGCTTTGTTTAATTAATTAGTATAAACAAATTGGTGCCATACCTAATTGACGAGTCTGCCGAAACTTTTCCCCGCGGCACGCGCTACAAATCCGTCCAACTTTGCCCATCTACAGTGCAGTGAATATTCCACTTCGCGTTATTTCCAAGTTGGCACCAATTGATATTACGCCGCCGGCGCCGTCGGAATTCCAAATTATACAAACATTCCGCAGTCGGGGGCTGAATGACGGCGCAGTTCCGCTTGCACCGCCAAGCCGGAGTAGTCGCCTGTTGCCGGCGAATTCTATTTGAGGATTTGTACTGATGTAGATTAGTGTTTTCATGCATGAATAGAGCTAGGCTGAATTACTTGAACTGAATACAAAGAGACTTTCAGCATGACCAAAATTTAGGCCTGAGAGCACGGGAATTGATTTATCAGAGCCAAGGTAGAATGGATAATTTTTCTTTGGGGCCTATAAGCGGTCTTTACAGGAACCACAGTTTGTTTAAATACACCTATTTAGATAAAAGTACGAGTATCCGTACATACAAAGTTGTACTGTACGACTTTGTTTGTAGGTAATGTAATGTACCGTACATTACATCTAAATCACTGCACGATGGGCTTAAATGGTGGTAGAGTAACATTGACGTGATATGAGTCTAGATTATTAAGATAAACTTTCTGCAAGTCTAGTCTTTTAGTCAAGTAAAGCTAGGTACACAATACACATTCGTCTTGTCTAACACTTTCTTAAGTTTTTATAACGACAATGTAGCAATATCTATTAGCTCTAAAGTAAGTATTAAGTTTTGAGCGATGTTATACCTATCTTCGAAGTTCCTCTAAGTTTATGTACATTAATATACATTAATAGCGTAACTTGGGAACATTATGCGAATCAACATGTTAGGCGAGCCGAGGGGAGAACGAAGTTATTAATTTGGAAATAGTTGCTTATTAGTTTAATATGAGGGGAAGACCCACTTACCTACATGTATTTCCGCGCCTAATTAAGTTTTTAAGGGGGTTAATTCCATAAAAGGCAAATTATATTTACTGAAGTTTCAAATAATTTACCCTATTCTGGATTAGACGTGCGCGCCGCCGCGGCGCGCCGCCGCCCCATAAGGAGTCAGCGCGCCGCCGCCGCCGCCGCCGGTAGTTTAAAATTCGCGCCGAGACAAAACCCGCAAGAGAGTACAAGTTTAAAATCAATCTAATGTAAAGCGGGCAGATATTGACAACCATCTTTGCCTAGGGCACGGTCTCCATAAACTTAGTTACGGTTGATGGAATAAAGAAAACACCCGAAGTTTTAAGTCTTGTGACGAAATGTAAGAAAATAGTAAAAACAGTCAGGTATCGTTTGCCAGAATTGGAGAAAGAGGCAGAAAATGAACAAAAGTTTTTAAGCTCTTTGGAGACTGTTTCTCAAGTGATAGAGGAAGATGAAAACGATCATGGATGCATTATTAGACTGTAGGTTTATGAAGCTTGGAGAAGTTGACCTCTATCTGACTGCTAACGAATTAACTCCAGCTGGCTTCTTGGCAGAATATACTAAAGAATTAATCCCTTACTACGAACATAATCAACCATTATTACACCAGTGTGGCTAGCACTAAAAAAATTTCGAGTTCGAATCGTTTGCGTATTCGAATCGCCATCAAAAGATTCAGTACGAAAACTACAACAGCGCCCTTGTGAACGTGTCGTAAAGTGAACTTAGTATGAGAAATGGTTTTTAGTTAGTATGTAGTTAGTTAGTTTTGCAGGGCAATCGAATACCGCACTTAGCCTCATGATTGGGCCATTGTGCGCGATTTGTGGTATATCTTCCTACTCCAACCACCCTAGATCCCCCAGAAGGCGAGCAGCCCGTCTAGGCTGCTACAGGCTTCCTGTAGCGACGATGGTGATCGAAGAAATTGAGCCCGTTGTTCTTCTACGCTGCTGCACTCCATGAGCACATGCTGCGGTGTTTCCTCTGCCTTCATGCACCCCCTGCACAGTGGGCTGTCTGTAACACCTATGTTGTGTAAGTGCTTGTTTAGCATACAGTGTCCGGTTATGACACTCAGGACCTTGCGGATGCTGTCCCTGTTTAGTCTGGTGAGGCTGCGGGAGAACTTTTTCGATACGTCCGGAACCGCATCTTTTGTTTGCCTGCATCCTTCGCTATTTTTCCATTCTGTGTGGTATTTTTCTTCTGTTTTGGAACGCAGTGAAACTTATTTTGAGAATCAAAATTGTTACGTTATGGTTTAATTCGAAGGTCGAGTATCGAATTTCGTCGAATACGCAAACGATTCGAAGACGAAAGTTGTTCATGCTAGAGGTACCAGGGTCACCAGGAAGAAGCTCGTTCGTTCGTTCGTTTCAGCCGATAGACGTCCACAGCTGGACAAAGGCATCCCCCAAGGATTTCCACAAAGACCGGTCCTGTGCCGCTCGCATCCAGGCACTTCCCGCGACCTTCACCAGAACGTCTTCCACCTAGTGGGAGGCCTGCCCACGCTACGTCCTCCGGCTCGTGGTCGCCACTCAAGAACTTTTCTCCCCAGCGGCCATCAGCTCTTCGAGCTATGTGCCCCGCCCACTGCCACTTGATTTTAGTGATCCTGCGAAACTTGAAGACGGGGACATCTTGTCCTACTGGCAAACCAGACAATCTGCCTACCCGCGTTTATCGTCATTAGCACAGGCTCTGTTATGCATTCCAGCAACCAGCACTCCGAGCGAAAGAGTGATTTCGGTTGCTGGATTGCTTTTAACAGCCAAAAGGTCCCGGCTGAGTCCATTTAGGATGAATAAAATATTTTTTGTGCACGACAACTATAAAAGTTGCAAACAAAATATTTCTGTCAAGAAAAGTAATTGAGTCATATTATTAGTTTACTTAATAAAGTTCTTTCGTTTAAGGGTGGTTTTTCATTATACGTCTTATTATGCAAAGTTGAAAAATCCCACGCCGCCGGCGTTACGCCGCCGCCGCCGTGGATTTTTTCGTGGCGCGCCGCCGCCCGATTTTTTTCGACCGGCGCGCACGTCTATTCTGGATGCTTGTTACTTTTATAAATGTTTTAATTCATTATAACTTAAGATTGAATTTTATTCCAATCTTGAGCATCGTATGGTATTAAGGGCAGCAAACCGGTGCGACGTACGAGGGCATAGGTGTAGACTTACTACCTCTGCCTAACAACGGCCACAACAATGGCGAAGAACGAAGTCCCGCCCGCATCATACGTCTGGCTTTTGATTGACTTTTGTCACCGTGAGAGTAAATATCTTTTTTTCTTTACAAAGGTGTAAAAGTTATTCAAAAGTTAGTAAGGTGTGTAAATTATACTATTACGGAGACAAAAAAGTCACTCGTGCGCGCACGCTCTAATTCATAAGCATAAGGCCTCCCACGCACTAGGCAGCCTGGCTGCCGCAGATGACGGTCTATAAGGGAGCCCGTGCATTAGGCAGCCAAGAGGGTTCATCTAAGGTGTTCATATCAGATTGACTGCAATAGCCACGCTGTCCAGTGCGTGGGATCGCTAAGGCGATTATTGATTGATTGATTGCCAGCGCGTGATTTCATATAAAAAATCACGCGCGCGGACGCGTTGACAGTGTGTACAATTATTAAATCTGTCACCCCGCGCGGCGCAGTGTGATAACCGCCTAACTGTTGCACGAGAGAAAAAGGATAATAAAGAAAAAATGCTATTGTATTATGATTGTTTATTCAAAATAATATGCTTGTATATTAATAAATAATTTAATAAGTCAATCTCTAATCGTTAATAATAACGTTGTAATAAAGTCGCGTAATTAACCATTGCATTAAATTCTTTTTTCAGTATGGCAATAAAATTTGACATGACATATGAAAAGTTGCCAGTATATAAAATAAATTCCTGCGTCGTTTGTGACGATTTTGTTGCTTGAAAATAAAAAAAAGCGATAATCTGAGTGATTTGAGTGATTTCGAGGAATTGCAATAAAAATATTTGTTCACTGCCTAGTTAACTGTAAATAATGTTAGATAGTGGTTGTTGTTTAGTATACACTGGTTTACAGAAATGATACAACGTTCGTTTTCTATCCGTGCCTTTTATTAGTGTAATAATTTAGTTAAAACAAACACATGCTAACTCTAGCGGATCTTCATTTGTTTTCATTATGACAAAGCGGCGAAGAATACTTCACGCGGACAAAATAATACAAAATGTTGTTCACATATTTTGTTTGTTGATGTTTCTACAGTTGAAAGGTTAGTTGCATTGATAAATTACTTCAAATCTATTGGCACCAAGTTGTAGTGGTGGTTTGAAGGTACACCAAAAAAACAAGTCAATTAATTTGATTGTGTTTTCCAGGTTATTACTCGGTAGCTAGTAATCCCATACTCTTATATTCAACTACATCAGACATTCGAGTAGCGAACATTTCAAGACTAAGCAAAGCCAATGCCATTGTCAAAGGCTTGGAACAAGGGTCTGCTGTTGATTTTATTCATAGGAAAAATTTAATCTGTTGGTCTGACCAGACAGCTGAACTTATACAATGTATGAACTACAACGAAACTTATTCAGGAGAAAAAGTAAGTTTTTAATTTCAACTTTTACAAAATTAATCAAGTCATTGTGTGATATGAAAGGCCACACAAGCTTTTAAAAGTAATACAATTTTGCTCTTTACTGTTCTTATAAAACAATCTGCATCAAAAACATGAATAATTTAAAACTCCAAAATGTGGAATTTTCTGTATTATACACACAGTTAATGAATTATGATGATAATCAGCCACATTTAGTTATTAATTATTTTATATTCTAAATGAGAATAGCTTAAATTAAATCAATACTAAAAACAGCATAATGTGTTTTATTGTTATGTATTTTAAAGTACACACCTTTTAATAAATAACTTTTTTGTGTTCCAGATGAGAATAGTATCAGAAGGACTGATAACGCCAACTGGCATTGCAATAGACTGGTACACAGAAAAAATATATTGGACGGACGGAGAAACCAACAGAATAGAAGTGATAAGTATAGAGCAGAAGTATAGAAAGGTGTTGTTTTGGTCCGAGGTAGACTTGGCCAGAGCTATAGCTGTAGTTCCTAAAGAAGGGTAATATATTTTCTATTAATACCAAGTACCAAAACTCAATTTTTAAGTGAAAACTGAATGAAAGAAAAAAAGTTTGAGTTTTGGGACTAATGAGTCAATTACTATCTAAATTTTATTTTCAGATTAATGTTTTGGACTGACTGGGGGGAAGAGCCCAAAATAGAAAAAGCTGGTATGAATGGCGACCCCAAAACACGAAAGATAATAGTGAAGGACGATATCATTTGGCCCAACGGCATAACCATAGACTACAATAACAATCTCATCTTTTGGGTAGACGCCAAGTTGCATTTTATAGACGTAATAGACTTCAACGGGGAAAATAGGAGACGCATAGTAAAAGGAGGCCTTGAATACCCTTACGCTTTAACTATATTCAGTGACAAATTTTACTGGACTGACTGGAAAAATTGGTAATGTATTATTTTTGTTTATTTTATTTTACTTTATTGGGAAAACAAACAGTGATAATTTGACTTATTAACTATCATTAACTTTACCAAAATAGTTCAGAATATTTTCTCCATTAATGACTTCACTCTCCACTGAATAATTATTGTGCATAGTATATAATACTGGGATATCAGTGACTTTATTTAACATTACTATCAAATCCATGAACTTTGATACTAGCCAGGGAGTTCATATCAAAACACTGGTAACTGTTTTATTACATACAAATAAACATTACATTCAGGTCAATATATGGATGGGACATGACAACAAATGGCCCCATAAAATTGCTGGTCAAATCGGACCCTGTCCCTGTTGACATCAAGGTGTATGACGCGAGTCGTCAGCTCATGCCGACAGGGGACTATCCGTGCAAAAACAATAATGGCGGCTGCTCGCATCTGTGTCTTCTGTCGCCTAATGAGCCAGGTAAGCTGAGAGAAGTTTGTTTTTTGACTACATACCACATAGTTTTGACATTTTCTTAACATAACTGCACCTTGCAATTTAATGATAGGCCTATTCAATCATATTGCTACTTGCTAGTGGCTCAATGTTATTTCATTTTAGTTTTCTATTGGAAAGGTACTAATAAAATTATGATAAAAGTAAATTATTATTTTTTATTTTATTTTACATTTCTAGGAAAACTTACAGCTACATATTACAGTAGTGTTTATAATTCAAGTAAAGCCAATTACAAGTTTCCACCAATATCTAGACAATTAATTTGATCGCGGACAGAAAACGATGTTAAACAAAGAAATTATTATTACATTGCTCAAGTTTATCAAATAAAAATTTGCTTCATGAGGTTCAGAGCAGCGTTTTTATGAGTCTTTCATAATCATTTTAAACTAATGTAGAGCGTTTTAATTGTACAAAACAAATTTTATTCATGTAATGCGGGTTTGAGTGATGAACGGACGCAACGCATAAAATAATGCTTGCACAATCTATTGAAGCGCGATAAATAGCGTGCGTATAACGCGTATGGAATTACACGCAGAAAAAACGCAAGCCTGAAACTACCCTAAGGGTATCGAACCCGCGGCCGCTGTCTTTATAGTCTGGAACCACTAGAGCAGGTCGATGAGGTGTAATGTTCAAATGAAACATGTTTTTAATTAATTTAAAACAATAGTTAATTATCGGCGTAAATAATGGTTATTGATAACGTATCGGCGTATACCAACAAAAGATATAGCTATAGTTTATTAATTATTACCAATTAGGTACTGTAATGAGTTGAGTTGTACATATTTCATCTTCGCAGGTTATGTTTGTTCCTGTCCGACTGGCACAAAGCTCAAAGAGAACAGCAACACCACTTGTTACAACAGTCCTCAGTCATTGCTCGTTGTGGCGCAACGTTCCATGATATCGAAGATATCACTCGACTCACCAGACTTCACACCGTACACATTGCCACTGAAAGACCTAAAGCGAGCTCTGACGGTGGATTTTGACCCAAAGACTGAGTACATTTACTGGGCTGATAGCTTGGTGAGTATCATACTATCTTCACTATTTCAATTTTCCATTTTCCTCTAGTAAATTAGAAAGGGTCTTCATTCTGCAGTGGAGACTAAATAATCAAGAATCATCATTGTCATTAGACATCAGTCTATGACCGAAATGTGCCAGCCCTGATCTTTGATGAGACACAGTCAAAGTCTAAGGGCTATATTTCACCGGGACACCATGGCGGCGTAACCAGTCGCCCGCTACCAACAAAACGTATACAACTCTATAGAGAGTTACTCACCTGGTGTCCGTTTGGTTGCGCAAAGCTGTATACATTTTGTTGGTAGCGGCGACTGGTTGCGCCGCCATGGTGTCCCGCTGAAATATAGCCCAGAGTCTCTCGAAATCCGAGGAGCGCGGTTTCGAATCCCGTCGCCGCGGCGGCGAGGCTTGACTATTGTGGTGAACCCACTCATAACATTTAGCTTACCACGAGGGGTTAACGGAACCATTAGTACTTAATTTGTGCAGTATAAATTACTAATTTAAAAAAAAAGTTTCGGATAACACAGCAAATGCTACAATTCTAGGCAAAAACAATATCCCGGGCACGGCTAGACGGCAGCGAGCAGTCGGTAGTGATCCACAGTACCGGCGTGCCCGACAGCATTGCCATCGACCCTCTAGCCAGGAACATCTACTGGACCGACCCTGTGACCGACACCATCAGTGTGGCCCGACTTGACGGCAGCTCTAAAAAGGTGAGTCATAAAATATACAATAACTAAAGTTTATTTGAATTTTTTACTCAGATACAATCTCAGATCATAGAAGGGAATAGATGTGAAACGGGGGCGTGGCGCGTGTCTCCGCGATATGCCCAGAAACGAACATCGCCCGCGACGCCAGGTTAGTCGCGATTCAGTCGTACTGAGGAAATGTTCTCCGATATTGTTGGATAATGCGTCGTAACGTGCAATAACATAAGTGAAACGAAGAACTACAGGAACAATGAAGTCATTTACCACATGTAAGTATTGCAAATCCATTGGTATTTTGCTTATAAATAAAAAAAACTAAACATTTTTACGAACGAATTCAGTGCCGTGAATTTTTTAAACCAATTTCGAGCCTTGCCCCCAGGATTTAAAGTATCGATATCTTATCGACTCCATTTTATCTTTCTTCTCTCTAATTGCTTTTTTCAAAGTGTGCGTCACGTCACGCGGCCATTGATTGGCCATAAGGCACGCCTTCTGGCCAATCACAGCACTTTTAAGCCGGTTGCACATGTTGTCGTAGACTCTCAGTCGCTTTGTTTTTACACAGTTGAATGTGTGTGTGGGAGCTGTGGTGGGGGAAATGTGGGGACACTGGTTCTCGTTGTAGTTACGCGCGACTTCATATCTATTCTCTTTCTATGATCTGAGGATACAATAGTTGGTTTTTTATATTCTAAAAGGTCATATAATAATTATGTTTGCAATTTATGTTTTTATTTTGTTTTCTTAAATCATACATCTTATAGTTTAACACAGATAGCATAAAATAATGCGCTTTTATAAAGCCTATTTACACGTCGTAGTATAATTTTTACGTTCTACTTACTGCTTCGGCACAAAAATGTAAGCCAATATTGTCTAATAATAAGACTTTTTCTGTGATTTGAATTTTTGAATAGGCAGATCTACAGTAATTGTGCAATGTCAGTCTTTTTCTGGGATTTGAATTTTTGAATAGGCAGATCTACTAAAAAGTGTGTTTATTAATTAATTTATTTAATATGTTTTCCCATAAACGAATTACAAACTTAAAGGCTTGGCTTACTTTTTTAGTCTACAGACACTATTTTATCATAATCAAGAATCACAAATCCGACCATTTTGCTGATAATTAAAACTCTGTATAGTTAAAAGATTTCAACGCCCATTTGTTATGTCAATTATTTTATCTCGTTTTACCGATTTATCTACCATACACATAATTTTCACGGACATTTAAGAGTGCCTATTCATGTGGGAAGCAAATAACCGCCATAACATTTTTGAAAATAATTTCTACTAACCATTCTATTGTAACCACACTGTCCAATAGAGGTGTTGACACAAGTTGACACCAAAACCACCAATCACAGTTGATTGGTGGTGGAAAAGTCAATTCTTTGAAGTACTTTTTAAAACTGTCCAAACAAGACTCCCATAGATTTTGTATGGCAATACAAGCAAGTGATGGCACTATTTTAGCAACTCAATTAAACTACTCTTTTCAATTACAATGCAACCAAAAATCTTATTTACAGGTAAAAGTTTTTAAGGCTAGAATGAAGTGTTTGTTTGATTGTGATTTCGATTTATTGGGGAATAGTGACAAATTGTCTATTTCATGCGGCGGTTTTTAAAAGTACTATCGGCAACAGTGTTTACTGCCCATTTCCGGTCATGTCGTCTCGTTCTATAGCAAAGAATCACCATTTGATGAGAGCGAGAGCAAAAACGTAAATGGATAGATAACACTGGCTGTGTCACCTACATAGATGAATTATTGTCACTTGATCATGTCCTTTTGATTGACTTGAATAATTACTAAGATTTACGCATTTTTACCATATAAAAAGTGTTACATAAGCTCATACGTCATTCCAAAACAGGTGATAATACACGACGAGCTATACGACCCGCGCGCCATAGCGCTACACCCCACAGCCGGTTGGATGTTCTGGTCGGACTGGAACGAAAAGAAGCCGAAGATAGAACGCGCCAACTTAGACGGGACGGGCCGACTGCTGCTTGTGTCCGAGAAACTCACGTGGCCTAATGGGATCGCTTTGGACACGGTGAACAATAAGCTGTATTGGGGAGACGCTAGGACGCACAAGATTGAGGTAAGCGTAACTTCTTCGCTCCGCTCTGCATTGGTGGATACCGGGCCTAAACGTGACTTTTTCATGCAATACAAAGCAGGTATTTGACTTCGCTCAATCACACCTGTGTGCTTACCATGAGTTTACGTTAGGTGAGCTCGCTAGCGAATACGTCAAAAAATTCTATGAAGATTTTATTTCTTGAAAGTAGCCGCTAGGGGCGCTGCACAATATGTCATACATTTAAATGTCATTTTTTTACGCAGTCGCTAGCGAGCACACCTAACGTAAACTCATGGTAAGCACACTGACTACACATTGCATAGAACTATTATTTGTAACTTCACTACACGTCATGTGTATGTAGTTTATCGATGGCATTAGGTATGTCACTCATTGCGAGCTGTAACTTTTTTTACTGTAACCTGTAACCTTTCACGACAAACGACTGAAAGCAAATTGTCCAAAAACGTTTACTTGAACATAGTCAAAGTCAAAGTCAAAATTTCTTTATTTGTTTGGACTAATAAATAGTTCTTACAAATCGTCATTTTGCTCTTAAGGAGCCTCTACATGTCTCATAATCTTTTTACCCTACCAGCGCTTCGAGACCAACATTTGGCAAGTGCTGAGAAGAAGCGCCGCAACAAACTCAGTCACCACTGTCTGCCGGTTAATATAAATAAATAGAAATAGTAGTAGTAGGTACATTCGATTCAGGAGCAGTTCACTGAATTTACCATGCATTCTTGTATGGTGTATCTTATAAGAATGGGTATACAAGATTGCGTGGTATATTAAACAAGGTAGTGACGTGCTAATTTATCTAGACATAATATCAAAAATATACTCAGGAATGTAACATGAAAGTTTTTTGTATTGTACCATTGAAATGAGAAAATGTACCCCTTAAATACAGGATGAAAAAAAAAGATGATGATGTCCTATAACAATATTCACATATTTTTAGGTTTGCAACATGGACGGCACCAACCGCAAGGAACTACACAGCAGTGACATTTTGCACATCTTCGGACTGACCTTACTCGGCGAACACCTGTACTGGACCGATATGCAAAGGCGCTCATTAGATCGTATAAATAAAGTTACTGGTGAGAATTTTATTAAGTTTTTCCCATATTTGCGTTTTACTTAATTGCTCTTGGTGAAAGTACACCTTACCGCAGTGCACTCAATACCTCAATAGACTTTATGATACTTGGCGATGGCGATGGAGCGTGCTATGCTTAGAGTTTCCCTGAAATTCCCTGCGTGATCGAATCAGAAATAAGGAGATCCGCAGGTGAACCAAAGTGACTGACATAGCCCGCAGAATAGCTAAAATCAATTGGCAGTGGGCGGGGCACATAGCTCGCAGAGCTGATGGCCGCTGGGGCAGAAAAGTTCTCGAGTGACGAACCAGAAGTCGTAGTGTGGGCAGCAGCGTTGCCAAACGTCCCGATTTTGGCGGGACGTCCCGATTTTTAAATCAAATTTAAATGTCCCGCGCGGGACAGGCTCGGTCCCGCTTTTCGGAGAGAGTCACTCACTTCGCCAGGCCATTGTTTGAAACGCCATATTATTCTAAAGAATAAAACTTTTTTAATTTAGTTTTTTTTTTTTATTCTAGACGAATTTAACGATAAAGTAAATCTGATTTCAAATATTATTTTTTTGTTAAAATACATTTTCAATGGCTACTTTTGCTATCTATTGTCACGTAAAAAGATAAATATTTGAAAACCTTTGATTATACAACGTGTCCCAAAATTCAAGGATAAGCCGGCGCCGCAGGATGGACATAGTCATGACTACTTTAGGAAAAATAAGAAAAAAAATCTATCTCAATTATTTTTTAAGTTACACAATAAATTATGAAAATCGTCGAAAATTGACACCCCTTATGATATTTTACATTACCACGACTACAATTTTTCAAATACTTCTGTTTTTTTTGTTTGTATTGGCAACTTAAGTAGTGCTGCTGTCCACTCCACTTCTTAAAATCCCCAGAATCCTTGCAGTTTTTACACAAAAATTAATCAAAATATGATATTTCCTTAAAATTTTAAACTTTTACTTTCACTCCACTTTGACTCGTCGTTTTGTAAAAAAACAGTATGAACACTACTGCGGCAAGTTTATTATAAAGTTGACGCAACTATCCAAGATTCCAAAATGGTATAATACTCTGAGAAAACTAGTCGCAAAAAAGATATGCGTACCATTTTTACAAGCACTTCGCTTGTTAGTAGTATGGGATAAATCTTGCAACTAAATTTAAAACCAGTTCTCCTCAACCAATTGAGCTGAAATTTGGTATACTTATGTAAGTACGATGACAATGCAATATTATGGTATCATTGAGCTGGATGGAGTCTGGAGGTGGCCATAGGAACTTCTAAATGAAACGGCGAAATTGCATCTAGTTTAGGTTCGTTAGATTTGTCTTTTCAAGCACTTTGGTGCTAGATGATGTCCAGGATCCTGATGATGAAGTCAAGAGGTGGCCAGGAGCTGGCCATAGGAACTCCTAAACGAAATAGTGGAAGCTTATCGAGTTTGGGTTCGTTGGGTTTGTCTTCTCGGGCACTTGGGCCATGAGATTGAGAAACAACTAAAAAGTTTAAAATAAAGTTATAATCGCGCATGGAATTTATTCCTCTTTTTTTCTGTTTGCGCTACAAACTTTTGAAATTATTTGAACCTTGCATACAATTATTTTTATCGTTAAATTCTTTCGTAAAATTTCGCATTAATGCTTGTTTTTAAAAAAGTTTTTTTTTTTTATAACTTTATTTTACACTTTTTAGTTGTTTCTCAATCTCATGGTCCAAGTGCTCGGGAAGTCAAATCCAACGAACCCAAACTCGATAATCTTCCGCCATTTCGATTAGGAGTTCCTTTGGCCAGCTCCTGGCCACCTCTTGACTTCATCATCAGGACCCTGGACATCATCTAGCACTAAAGTGCTCGAAAAGATATCCAACGAACCCAAACTAGATGCGATTCCGCCGTTTCGTTTAGAAGTTCCTATGGCCACCTCCAGACTCCATCCAGCTCAATGATACCATAATATTGCAATGTCATCGTACTTACATAAGTATACCAAATTTCAGCTCAATTGGTTGAGGAGAACTGGTTTTAAATTTAATTGCAAGATTTATCCCATACTAATTAACAAGCGAAGTGCTTGTAAAAATGGTACGCATATCTTTTTTGCGACTAGTTTTCTTAGAGTATTATACCATTTTGGAATCTTGGATAGTTGCGTCAACTTTATAAAAAACTTGCCGCAGTAGTGTTCATACTTTTTTTTTACAAAACGACGAGTCAAAGTAGAGTGAAAGTAAAAATCGTTCAAAATTTTAAGGAAATATCATATTTTGATTAACTTTTGTGTAAAAACTGCAAGGATTCTGGGGGTTTTAAGAATTGGAGTGAACAGCAGCACTATTTAAGTTGCCGATACAAACAAAAAAATAGTGGTCGTGGTAATGTAAAATATCATAAGGGGTGTCAATTTTCGAAGAATTTCATAATTTATTGTGTAACTTAAAAAATAATTAAGATACATTTTTTTTCTTATTTTTCCTAAAGTAGTCATGACTATGTCCATCCTGCGGCGCCGGCTTATCCTTGAATTTTGGGACACGTTGTATACGTTTTTTTACTATGTCCCGCTTCTGACGGAAGAATCCCGCTATTTTCACTCAAAAAGTACCAAAGTCCCGACTTGGCGAAAAAAAAAACTGGCAACACTGGTGGGCAGGCCTATTTACTTAACATATTATCTGTTTATTTACTCATCGAATCTCATTTGTTCAGGTATAGAAAGACAGCCAGTAGTGGAACAATTGGCCAATATGATGGGCGTGAAAGCATTCCGAGTGGGCGAGCCGCTCGGTCACAATCCGTGCGTTGATGAGAACGGAGGTTGCTCGCATCTGTGCTTCAATAGGCCCAAGGATTACGTGTGCAGTTGTCCTCTGGGTAAGATACACACATTATTATTCCATCTATTGAAAATTGTGAGTTGAACAGAAAATCTCTGTCTCTTTTATTCACTCAACGGGACTATTCCCACCTCTTGTTCCCACCACTGCAACTCCTGTGTAGCCAGGATCTATCTACAGCTTGACCGCCAATAAAAACTCAACCAGTGAAGGTCAAGTTTGTCCTGGGGGAAAGTTAAACTGTCATTGGACCCGTAACAAAATTAATCAGAAGAACATAGGAGGAGATCGAAGTTAAGGTTCGACTTCCCTCCATTGCAAAGCGGATGACAGGTGACAAACAAAGGTTCAGTAACCTTTAAGAAAATTCTACTCACTCAAGAGTTGCTGTCATGGGCAACTATCGACAGTTCACTATCACATCAACATCGATGGAAATTAGATAATTTATCGATGTACTTACACCAGCGAAGGGCGAATGAGCTGAAAACGGAAAATGCTTTCCAATTTTCGGTCAATTAATTAAAAATATATTCATTTTTCTTTAGGTCTGGAATTGGGCAGTGACAGAAAGAGTTGCACGGAGCCAGAAGCTTTTCTTGTGTACAGTCGCAAAAACGTCATCGGCCGTATCAGCGTTGAGAATGAAAACAACGACGCGGTCTTACCCATAAAAGACTTGAAGGAAGTGAGGTGAGTTAAATAACTATAACCCGATCTAGTTAACTGCGCATCAGGCTGCCGTGACGTCTCATCGACGCTTTGACACGGATGAATGTATGGTGGTCATATAAATGGTATGGTGAAGTCAGAAATTTGATAACATCATTTTTTTATTTTTTATTTTCATACAAAATAAATTTTATAAAATCTGATTTGTATGAAAATTAAAATAATTAAAATGAAGATATCAATTTTCTGACTACACCATACCATTTATATGACCATGTTAACATGGGCTAGTGTCGGCTCATATACCCATTTACCTAACACCCTGTATAACATCGATTATTAGTCTGTCTGTCGTCTCGTTAACTCAAGGTTTGGCAATCCTAGGTTAAATTAATATTTTATCAAAATTTTCTAGCTCGAATAAAGCCATTGTTTGAGACATCAAGTATTCCAAATCGAGTGTTGTACAATTTATAATGCAATTTATGCTTAATAAAGTTTGTACAATTAACCATAGACAGCAAAGAAATGATATCTTACCAGAAAAATCGTTAAAAATTTGAATTATTTTATGACTTATTGCAGTGCTCTGGAAGTCCATGTAGCAGGATCCAAGATATATTGGTCGGACAGCAAGACCAAGACAATCAATCGATGCTCGATCAACGGGTCTAATCTGGAGAGAATCCTGGAATGGATGGGAATCGTAGAAGGTATGGACGTTATGTATATTTAAAGGCTAGTTCAATCTTTAACAGATCTACCTGCCCCAAATTCATGAATGTTTCCAAGACACTTTAGTTAGTTAGTTTTGCAGGGCAATCGAATACCGCACTTAGCCTCATGATAGGGCCATTGTGCGCGATTTGTGGTTTATCTTCCTACTCCAACCACCCCAGATCCCCCCAGAAGGCGAGCAGCCCGTCCAGGCTGCTGCAGGCTTCCTGTAGCGACGACGGTGATCGAAGAAATTGAGCCCGTTGTTCTTCCACGCTACTGCACTCCATGAGCACATGCTGCGGTGTTTCCTCTGCCTCCATGCACCCCCTGCCAAGACACTTTAAACCTTACTATTTTTTAATAAAGTTCAAAATCAACTGAAACCCTTACCCATGTGAGATGCAATAAATAATTTGAATTTAAAAAAAAAAGTTTAATTAAAATCTACCAACAGTTTATAATAACATTTTTTTTTTCAAACAACTCTTTCCATAGAGTATCCAATATCTATTAATATTCTATATTTTTTATAGGTTTAGCAATAGACTGGTCGGGTCAAAACATCTACTGGACAGACACGGCCACGCAGCGCATCGAAATGGCGCGCCTAGACGGGTCCAGTCGCCGCACGCTCATATGGCAGGGGCTCAAGAAACCAAAGAGCATAGTTTTGGATCCTAGAAAAGGGTATGTTAAGTTTAAACCTTAAAAACTCATAAAACTCATTTATTTTTGCAAATAGACTTTTAAAAAGCACTTGTACACGTCCCAATATTAACCCTACCACTGCTTCGGGACAATAAATGGGCCAGTGCTGAGAAGAAGCAGCGCAAGAAACTCAGTCACTATTACCTGGCGGTGACTGAATTGGTGCCACCTAATTTTGAACTTTATTGGCATAAGTTTCAAAATTATTTTTCTGTATACTGGTTGAAGGGTATTACCATTGAATCGTGATGAATTAACGGCCGAATACTGAAACGCCATTTAAATATTTGACGGCTTCTCAAATAGTTAAGCAGCTCCTAACTTACATTTCGCATACTCAAAACAATATCTGAGCAGTTCTCAATTTTTAAGCACCTCTCAAATTAAGTTGTCCTCAAACGCCTCTCAAATGCATTTTCGAATACTGAAACGCCATTCAACGCTAAGCATTACTCAAACAACTGTCAAATCGTCTTAAGCAGCTGTTAAGTTTGAGAGTGCTTGCGCGGTATCTTAAATCCTATTCTTATACCTAAATCGACCTAAATAGTGGTAAATAATGTGTGTCGTCGTTATCATTTCTTTCGAGCCTCGAGGAAATACCTAGATCTAATCGCAGGAACGCAATAAGGCTGAACGCTATTGAAAAATATTATTATAATGACATGTAATTCCGAGCGAGGTTCCGCGTCTCTAAAGAAACGGTGTTGTTTCTGGATTCATAATTTGGAAGCTCTTTGAAACCCCTCACCAAACGATATACAACCAGTGGACCAAATACTTATTATAACCCTACTGTTCTACGCAACGGGAAGTTATGAACGTGTACTACTAGGTGATATCTTCCACAAGTTCCACATCTAACAGCCAACTGTGCATCGTATAGTGCACGAAGTAACAACCAAAATAGCTACTATGAAATTATCGCTTTACATAAACATGCTTATTTCTGAAGAATAAGGGGACATCGCATAGCAGCATTTCCAACGGCCGAATACTGAAACGCCATTTAAATATTTGACGGCTTCTCAAATAGTTAAGCAGCTCCTAAACTAACATTTCGCATACTCAAAACAATATCTGAGCAGTTCTCAATTTTTAAGCACCTCTCAAATTAAGTTGCACTCAAACGCCACTTAAATGAATTTTCGCATACTGAAACGCCATTCAACGCTAAGCATTACTCAAACAACTGTCAAATCGTCTTAAGCAGCTGTTAAATTTGAGAGTGCTTGCGCGGTATCTTAAATCCTATTCTTATACCTAAATCGACCTAAATAGTGGTAAATAATGTGTGTCATCGTTATCATTTCTTTCGAGCCTCGAGGAAATACCTAGATCTAATCGCAGGAACGCAATAAGGCTGAACGCTATTGAAAAATATTATTATAATGACATGCAATTCCGAGCGAGGTTCCGCGTCTCTAAAGAAACGGTGTTGTTTCTGGATTCATAATTTGGAAGCTCTTTGAAACCCCTCACCAAATGCCATACAACCAGTGGACCAAATACTTATTATAACCCTACTGTTCTACGCAACGGGAAGTTATGAACGTGTACTAGGTGATATCTTCCACATCTAACAGCCAACTGTGCATCGTATAGTGCACGAAGTAACAACCAAAATAGCTGCTATGAAATCGCTTTACATAAACATGCCTATTTCTGAGTGTATTGGCTCTGTGCACGATTACAGCGCCAACTAGCGTCCACAACTTTGTGGGCTCTGTCACATTGACATTTAGGTCGTATATTTTGTGAAATGAAAAAATAACAAATATTTTCGTCTAATAAATTGTTGTGATACCACGATTTGGGTGGAAAAAAGGTTTTGAAATCATTTTGGTCATTCAAATCAAATGAGGTAAGTCCAAAAATTTTGATTGTGTCAGGGTTTGTTTACTACACTTACGGCCGAATACTGAAACACTACTCAAATCTGTCACTCAGCTGACGGGCTCCTAAATTTAAGTATCCTTCAATTTTAAATGGTATTCTCAAACGCTACTCAACGGATTTGAAGCCGTGATCAGCTAAGCAGCTCTCAAATGTTTACATAATGGCAACATTTACCAAAAAAAGTATGTTTTCATTTACACAAATGATAACTTTACGTCTTTTATCCATTACACGCAGCATCGTTTGGTTATGTATTGTCTTTTATGGAAATATACTCAATCAACTTAACATAGAACAGTTTATTTTTAGTTTCTATTATATATAAATCTCGTTTTATCATATAAAAAAATTAATGCTTGCATTTTTATTTAATTAAAAAAATAATTTTAAAGGTGATACTTTTTATTGTTGAAATCTATTAAGTGGCGATCGTGGACCGAAACGTAACCACAATTGACATTTATCATTGTTGACAGAGCATCAAATTGACAAATCAACAACTCTTGGAAATGCTGCTATGCGATGTCCCCTTATTCCTCAGAAATAGGCATGTTTATGTATTGCGGTTTCATAGCAGCTATTTTGGTTGTTACTTCGTGCACTATACGATGCACAGTTGGTTGTTAGATGTGGAAGATATCACCTAGTACACGTTCATAACTTCCCGTTGCGTAGTACAGTAGGGTTATAATAAGTATTTGGTCCACTGGTTGTATGGCGTTTGGTGAGGGGTTTCAAAAAGCTTCCAAATTATGAATCCAGAAACAACACCGTTTCTTTAGAGACGCGGAACCTCGCTCGGAATTGCATGTCATTATAATAATATTTTTCAATAGCGTTCAGCCTTATTGCGTTCCTGCGATTAGATCTAGGTATTTCCTCAAGGCTCGAAAGAAATGATAACGATGACACACATTATTTACCACTATTTAGGTCGATTTAGGTATAAGAATAGGATTTAAGATACCGGGCAAGCACTCTCAAATTTAACAGCTGCTTAAGACGATTTGACAGTTGTTTGAGTAATGCTTAGCGTTGAATGGCGTTTCAGTATGCGAAAATTCATTTGAGTGGCGTTTAAGTGCAACTTAATTTGAGAGGTGCTTACAAATTGAGAACTGCTCAGATATTGTTTTGAGTATGCGAAATGTAAGTTTAGGAGCTGCTTAACTATTTGAGAAGCCGTCAAATATTTAAATGGCGTTTCAGTATTCGGCCGTTATCCAAACGTGTTTCATTGTCCACAGTTATATGTACTGGTCAGAATTGGGGTCCAAGAGCATCAAACGGGCTGCCATGGATGGATCATCGCCTACAGGTCAGTTTATTTAATGATATTTATGCAACTAGGGTATAGTTGCTGTTAAGTATTAAAATCCCTAAGATCTTAAATATATAGATGACCCACGCTGAAATATCCCACCAAACTCAAGGACAGGGGGGCGCTACCATCGTTCAACTATATGATTTGCAAAATGGCAAAAATCGGAAACAGCGATCCGGTATTGACGGTGGCGCCCCACTGTCAATGTCATGGATAGGACAGTTCAGTATTTTGGAACTTTAGCAATAATTTAGTCATGACAGAGAATTCTGACACCGCGACGCGGTTTGTAAACTCAGTGGTGTCTGCCATAGTAATTCATGTGTTAGCGCCATCTGTTGGGTGAAGACTATTAGTCTGTAGTGGCGCGTCGATAGATGTCGCCACAATCTTTTACAGTAAAGATCACATACCTTTAAGTGTTAAATAATAAATATATTTCAGTATTCGTGGAACAAGTGGGCCGCGTGCACGCACTGGCCATAGACTACGACAAGCGCGCGCTCTACTGGGCGGCGCTGGATCCCCCAGCCATAGAGTATATCTACCTCAACGGCACGGGCAGGAAGTTATTAGCGGACAACATACTTATGCCGTACGCGCTCACTTTGTACGGAGAGAAGGTGTTCTGGGGAGATTGGAATACTGGTAAGTTATAAGCATTAATGTACTTGTATGTATTTGTCTTTTGCCTCCCCACACACATCACGATAATCCGAAGATTCGCGCTATGTGTGTGGCCCAGGCGCAAATGATGTAACTAACAATGTACCTACATGTGCCTACGCAATCGACTAATATCGCCATGAATGTCAAAGCAAAATAGAAATGTATCGCTGCCATATTGTACCTCATTCGGAAGACATTTTAAATCGTATTTATTAATAGAAATCATCGGGAGTGTTTCGAACAACTCTTTGATTTGTCTAAGCTTTGTTCGAACTCAACAGCCGAGTGCAAATCGCTACCATAAACTACTCCGGGGAGTGCCCCACTAAACGAAGACGACAGCGGGCGCTTTATTCTATCACTATAGTGGTTGGATCAAGCGTTTACACAAATGAAGCGGTCGCGGAGCGATCCGAAAGCGAGAAAGCTATCGACTGCCGCGGGCAGTGGGCGATAGCGCTGTGTGACATGAACCGCTCCGCGACCGCTTCGCGCTGGATCGCTTTAAGTGTGTGCTGACTTTAATTCTCACTCTCAGGTCTCATCGAAGTAGCAAACAAGGTGGACGGCACCGACCGCAAGACGATCCACACGTCTCTCGACTACATAACCGACCTGAAAGTGTACCACCGCACGCGCGCGGCCGGCGCCAACCAGTGCGGCGTCGACAACGGCGGCTGCGCGCACCTCTGCCTCGTGCTGCCCGCGCGCGCCGACTACCGCTGCGCCTGCCCCACGCACCACCGCCTGGCGCGCGACAACCTCACCTGCTCAGGTAACAGCACCTGCTCAGGTAACAGCGAGCGCCTCCAGTGACACTGTACACAACCAGTGCGGCGTCGACAACGGCGGCTGCGCGCACCTCTGCCTCGTGCTGCCCGCGCGCGCCGACTACCGCTGCGCCTGCCCCACGCACCACCGCCTGGCGCGCGACAGCCGCACCTGCTCAGGTAACAGCACCTGCTCAGGTAACAGCACCTGCTCAGGTAACAGCACCTGCTCAGGTAACAGCACCTGCTCAGGTAACAGCGAGCGCCTCCAGTGACACTGTACACAACCAGTGCGGCGTCGACAACGGCGGCTGCGCGCACCTCTGCCTCGTGCTGCCCGCGCGCGCCGACTACCGCTGCGCCAGCCCCACGCACCACCGCCTGGCGCGCGACAACCTCACCTGCTCAGGTAACAGCACCTGCTCAGGTAACAGCACCTGCTCAGGTAACAGCGAGCGCCTCCAGTGACACTGTACACAACCAGTGCGGCGTCGACAACGGCGTTGCCTGCACAGGTGAGTGGTTGTATACCTACCTGTTGCCTGCACAGGTGCGTTGCTGTAACCTGTTGCCTGCACAGGTAATAGCAAAGGAAACTCACCTGTGCAAGCTACATGTATACAGCCACTCATCTGTGCAGGCAACAGGTATACAGCAACTCATCTGTGCTAAGTGACAGGTATACAGTAACTCACCTGCACAGTTAATAGCAATGGAAACTCACCTGTGCTAGCGACAGGTATACATCAACTCACCTGCACAGGTAAGGGGGCGTCCATAAATTACGTGAGACTTTTAGAGGGGGGAGGGGGTCAACAAAAATCTCACTAAATCTCACGTGGGGGAGAGGGGGTCTCAGGAAATATCACGTAATTTTTTCCGCAAGAAATAGAGAAATAGAGTTTGCCACAAAACTGGGTTTAAATCTTAAGTAAAAAAATTGGCCAAGTGCGTGTCCTGCCACGCGCAGTGTAGGGTTCCGTAGTTGTCCGTCGTTAACAAAATATATTTCAGAAGCAAGCAATTACTTCATCTAAAGTCGCTTTTAATATTTTTTTCTAAGGAATTTTTATTAGATAAGTATGAAATTTTATAATACATGAGTTAAATGACTATTACTATTAAACTAACTGACCTACCCTAAAGTACTACCCTACGTTATAGTTAGCCAACAGTCTAGTTTTTAGAGAGGGAGGGACGCCCTGCTCGAACAAAAATTGTCACTTTAAAATTTAATGGTTTGCAAACTGATCCCGAAATCGAAAAATAGTCTTTGAAACCCCCAAGTCATCCAACGATATCCTACACGATGGTGTAGTAGATGAAAAAAAAATAATCCCCACTTTACATGTAGGGGAGCTACCATAAAAAAATGTTTTTTCAAAATTTTGTCCTACCGTTTTGTTGGCGTGATTAATATACATACTTACCTCCACAAAATTACAGCTCTCTAGTGCCAATAGTTTCCAAGCAAAACCTCGGACAGACAGACATATCGAAACTATGGGTTCCTTAAAACAAGTTTTTTTTTTATCAAAATCGATTTTGCTAGATTATGTACAAAGGAACAATAATTAGACTAGGTACTTCTGTAAAAAAAAAACAATGGGACCCTAGTACTAACCGCTGTCACTACACGTGTTTTTCTGGATCTATTCGTACCTAATCAGTGGGCTTAGTGCGACTTTATATCGATCCTCTGATGATTGTACAGCGTCCCTAGCAGATACTTTCAAGAACTAAAATCTTAAACTTTATAGATCTTTTTGATGCACTCGTTAGGGATAACGGTAAATATGCAAACTCGCACTAAGCACACAAAAAAAACTTTGTCAGTTAAATTACTCCAAAACTATTAAATTTCGGATTGTTTTTAAANTGCACTCGTTAGGGATAACGGTAAATATGCAAACTCGCACTAAGCACACAAAAAAAACTTTGTCAGTTAAATTACTCCAAAACTATTAAATTTCGGATTGTTTTTAAATATTACGTGAGATTAGGGGGTGGGGGAGGGGGTCAGGCAAAATCTCACTAAATCTCACCAAGGGGGGCGGGGGGGGTTGAAAAATAGCCAAAATTGTCTCACGTAATTTATGGACGCCCCCTAATAGCAATGCAAACTCCCATGTGCAAGCTACAGGTATACAGCAACTCACCTGTGCAGGCAACAGGTATACAGCTACTATTGAGAGCCAACTCTGAGTTATCAACCCAATTCGGACACAAGTTCTCCAGTCTTATAATAGTAAATTCTGTACAAACGATACCTTTTCTTACCCAGAACCAGAAGAGTTCCTGCTCTTCGCACAGAAGAATGCAGTGGGCAGGATTATGGTTGCCAACGGAGAGTGCAACGACGCCTTCATCCCTTTGCTAGGACTCAAGAATGTTAAAGCCATCGAATATGATCCCGAGAAAAAGTAAGTTTCCCTTTAAAATTAACTTCCTTTGTTTATATGATGCAATCGACGTTTCGTCCTACTGTGATATGTGATTTCTTATTATGTAACTTTTGTTCTAGATTGTTATACTGGATGGACGACGATTCCCACTCAATACGCCGGGTCCCAATCTCTTACTCCACAACCTCAGCTCTGACAGACTCGTTCACGGTCGTCTCAGACCTCACCCGTCCCTTCCATATGGTCTTGGACGTGTTGGGACGGGCCTTGTACTGGACGTGTTTGGACACGGACTCGATCAATGCAACGTCCATAGACAACAACTCGTCTGTAGGAGTCATATTGCGGGGAGAGAATATGAGACCGAGACATTTGGCTTTCCATCAGACAAAAAGGTTAGTGCATTTTTTAATACTTCTTTGAGACTTTTTCATGAGTCGATCAATAGTAGACTCATGCCCGCTTTCACCATCAATCACTAATTTTTAAGTGACCCCTATGGTAACAAATAACAGGAATTTGGTTTTCATAGAGGTTACTGAAAAATTAAGGATTGATGGTGAAAATGGGCATAAGCCTAGCCGCAGACTATAGAAATAGAAATTTTGTCGGCCGATAGTTGGATCGGGCTGTTAATTGGTTTTGGTATAAACAAGTATGCAAGTGAGCGCATTGGTATCGGTTGATTTTTCACACAAAATAGAATCGGCCGTCTGTAGTCGGCGGGGAGTCTAATGACAGTGGTAGCGTAAGCCATGTACGAGACTCGGAACAGCCATGTGTTATCTGAGGCATATTGGGAAAACTAGCCAATTCCAATCTGCAAAACTTGACATAATCCTACTAATATTATAAATGCGAAAGTTTATGTGGATGTTTGTTACTCTTTCACACAAAAACTACTGAACGGATTTTGATGAAACTTTACAGTATTATTGTTTATAACCCAAATTAACATATAGGCTATAATTTATGACGATATGTGACAAACTACATTTCACGCGGGTGAAGCCGTTATTGAATATTGAATTTGGTTTCCATTTATAAAGTCAAAAACCTTTATGTTTGTAATAGGTTTCATTTCGCAACAAACCATTTCGCAGGCTATACATGATTTTATCGTTTCCAGATTCCTAGTATGGAACGACGTGGGCCTAGGCGCAATAATGCGGTCGAACGTAGACGGCACCGACCGCGTGGAGCTGGCGCGGGCCGCCAACGCCTCCGCGCTCGCGCTCGACCAGACCACCGCCGTCGTGTACTGGGCCGTCAACCGGCAGATACTGGCCGTCGACCTGGACACGCTCAACAAGTTAGTACACGATACAACACGCTACACGACGCAACACGCTACATAACACAACGCCTCCGCGCTCGCGCTCGACCAGACCACCGCCGTCGTGTACTGGGCCGTCAACCGGCAGATACTGGCCGTCGACCTGGACACGCTCAACAAGTTAGTACACGATACAACACGCTACACGATACAACTGATTTAGTTCCACTGCAGGAGCATAACGAGTTTGATGTCCGCGTACTCGTATGTGTCCCTCGGTCACCTCTTATGGTGCGTCCACATTGGGCGCACGGGCTCGCGCGGCACGCTGGTCATCCTGCTCACCCTGCTCTTGAGTGAGCAGGATGTCGAGTTTGCCGCGCGAGCCCGTTTGTCCAGTGTGGACGCACCATAACGACATCCATGGGAAGAGTAGGGTTTTATGATCGACGCGTAGTGCAGTGTCCATAGGTCATCGTTTCAGCCAAATGACGTCCACTGTTGGAAAAGACCTCCCCAAAGGATTACCATAACGACAGTTCCTGCGCTGCCCGCGTCCAGGTTCTTCCCACGACTCACCAGATTCGATCCACCTGGGATGTGAGATGTAGGGCAGGCCCCCACTACGTCTCACGTTCGAAATACCGCAGTGTCTCAAGACAAAAGCGCGCATCCAAGGCCTACTTGGGTATTGATTTATTATTTCCTTATTCCAGACGCGTGGTATGGCAGGGCGGCTGGGTGGGCACGCTAGCAGCTTACGGCGGCGCTTTGTACTTGGGCGGCGGCGAGCGCGCGCTCATGCGCCTGCCGCTGCACCGCCGCGACGCGCCCGCCGCGCTCGTGCCGCACGTGGCGCGCCTCGTGGGCTCCGTGGCCGTGCACCCGGTGAGTGTCCCTCTAGCGAGCGCACAGTACCGGGCGGCGGCGAGCGCGCGCTCATGCGCCACACCAGCACCAGGACTTAGTGTCTTAGGGAATAGGGACTCTAGGCTCACTAGGGAGTTAGTTCCCTTCCTGACCGCATATCCCGGGCACGGGAGCGGTGCCTTACAACCACTGCCTCCCGCCCGTACAATGAGTCTAATATTTTCTAATTATCTGTCTGACGGACAAATAATTGAAATTTTGTGATCTAGCCTATTGCTAAAGGCAAGTTACTCTACTGAATTACTCGACAAATGCGAACCAGCCTTTACCATCATCTGTTTCTCCCTCTAACATGTGGTTCCCCGCAGGTGTCCCGCTCGCACCCGTGCTACGGCGGGCGCGCGTGCGGCGGCGGCGCGGGCGCGTGCGGCGCGGGCGGCGCGTGCGGCTGCGCCGGCTGCCAGCCCGCGCGCGCCTGCCAGCGGCGCCACTTCCTCTGCCACCTGTCGCGACACCCCGCCGCCACGCACACGCACTGCATACCCGACGAGTGGAAGTGAGTCACGGATTTTTTTTTTTAATTGGTGAAGAATATACGTGCGTCCGTCACTCATGGCGCGCTCGTGAGTCCCTTGTGGGTTAAACCCGCCGAGCGTGTTTTGTTTTCGACAGGCTTGGTAGCGGTATCTTTAGCGCTCCTGCACACGACGCCGCCGCGCCTTTACACTGTTTAAACGCGCCGCGTGAAGACTGCTGCCGCGCCGCCGCCGCGGTGGCGGCGTCGTGTGCAGGAGCGCTTAAATAAGTGCTACGACGTTGGGAAGCGCTACGAAGATTTTTCAGCGTTACAGCATTTCTATAAGTGTGCTATCGGGGTTTCCGCCGTCTGCTCAAATTAGTTTTAGGAATATTTGTATAAGCGCATCGCACTGGGCAAAAACTATAGCCGGCTGCCAGCACGCGCGCGCCTGCGTGCGGCACCACTTCCCCTGCCGTGGTAGTAAATCACGGCACAGAATCATAAATGTACTCTACCTTCGATCAACAATACCAACTGAATATCGGGTCAGCGCAAAAATGACGTCTCGCGAAATAACAGCGCACTTGAGAAGTGAGTTGTTTCTCCGGGCGGCGCGTGCGGCTGCGCCGGCTGCCAGCCCGCGCGCGCCTGCCAGCGGCGCCGCTTCCTCTGCCACCTGTCGCGACACCCCGCCGCCACGCACACGCACTGCATACCCGACGAGTGGAAGTGAGTTACAGTAGCTGTAGCTTGCTACGACCTTAGGGAGTGCTACGAATATCTTTCAGCTTTACAGGATCACCCGAGGAGTGGAAGTGAGTAACAGTAGCTGTGCTTGCTACGACCTTAGGGAGTGCTACGACGTTAGAGAGTGCTACGAAGATCTTTCAGCGTTACAGCATTTCTATAAGTGTGCTATCGGGGCTTCTGCCGTCTGCTCAAATTAGTTTTAGGAATATTTGTATAAGAGCATCGCACTGGGCAAGAACTATGGCTGGCTGCCAGACCGCGCCTCATGGAAGTGAGTCATAGCACAGAATCATAATATGTACTACCTACCTTCGATCAACAATACCAACTGAATATCGGGTCAGTGCAAAAATTGCGTCTCGCGAAATAACAGCGCACTTGAGAAGTGAGTCGTTTCTCCGGGCGGCGCGTGCGGCTGCGCCGGCTGCCAGCCCGCGCGCGCCTGCCAGCGGCGCCACTTCCTCTGCCACCTGTCGCGACACCCAGCCGCCACGCACACGCACTGTATACCCGACGAGTGGAAGTAAGTAACAGCAGAGTAGCTCACCGCTAATCCCCGCTAAATTTTGTCAGTGTGTATACGTGTTGGCGCGGTTTGTGTTGGCGCGCTCACATACAAACCTCGCCCGTGCGTTTCTATGAATATGACCTACTCATTTGTATTTACTCCGGTAACAGTAGCTGTAGCTTGGCAACAAGTGCTACGACTTTAGGGAGTGCTACGAAGATCTTTCAGCTTTACAGGATTGCCCGAGGAGTGGAAATGAGTAACAGTGGCTGTAGCTTGCTACGACCTTAGGGAGTGCTACGACGTTAGAGAGTGCTACGAAGATCTTTCAGCGTTACAGCATTTCTATAAGTGTACTACTATCGGGGCCTCCGCCGTCTGGTCAGTTTTAGTTTTAGAAATATTCGTGTAAGCGCATCGCAAGAACCTCTGCCGTAGAAGTGAGTCACGGCACCGAATCATAATATGTATTACCTACCTTCGATCGACAATACAACTAGATATCGGGTCAGCGCAAAAATTACGTCTCGTGAAATAACAGCGCACTTGAGAAGCGAGTTGTTTCTCCGGGCGGCGCGTGCGGCTGCGCCGGCTGCCAGCCCGCGCGCGCCTGCCAGCGGCGCCGCTTCCTCTGCCACCTGTCGCGACACCCCGCCGCCACGCACACGCACTGCATACCCGACGAGTGGAAGTGAGTCACGTAGCTTAACGTCGTAGCACTTCATTAAGCCTGCGTTTCCACCATCGCGTCATGCGTCGCTACGCATCTTCGCACATCTCTGGTGGAAATGCTACAAAGATCTTTCAGCGTTACAGCGTTTTTATGTGACCCCTGTGGCAACACACAACAGGAATTTTGTTTTCAAATTAGGGATTGGTGGTGAAAACGGGCATCAGTTATCTGAAATTAAATAGTTTTTATTTAATTTTTATATTACCCGCAGGTGCGACGGACAGGTGGACTGCCCGGACGGGTCGGACGAGGGCGCGGGCTGCGCGTGCGCGGGCGGCGTGCGCTGCGCCGACGGCACCTGCGCCGACGCGCTCAGCGGCTGCGCGCGCGGCGCCTACTGCCCGCACGCGCCGCTGCCCGACGCCTTCAGGTGAGACCAGGCTTGCAGCGGGCAGGGGACTGACGGACGGGCGGACGAGGGCGCGGGCTGAGCACCAGGCTTGCAGGTGCGGCAAGGGACTGACGGACGGGCGGACGAGGGCGCGGGCTGAGCACCAGGCTTGCAGGTGCGGCAGGGGACTGACGGACGGGCGGACGAGGGCGCGGGCTGAGCACCAGGCTTGCAGGTGCGGCAGGGGACTGACGGACGGGCGGACGAGGGCGCGGGCTGAGCACCAGGCTTGCAGGTGCGGCAGGGGACTGACGGACGGGCGGACGAGGGCGCGGGCTGAGCACCAGGCTTGCAGGTGCGGCAGGGGACTGACGGACGGGCGGACGAGGGCGCGGGTTGCGCGTGCGCCCGACGCTTTCAGGTGATCATTTCAGCCATAGGATGTCCACTGCTAAACATAGGCATCCCCCAACCCAATGATTTCCATGTTGACCGGTTGGTAGCAGCGTGCGTCCAGCGCCTTCCTGCTACCTTTATGATGTCGTCAGTCTACCGTGTGCCCACGCTGCGTTTTCCGGTACTCGGGCACTCCAGAACCTAGCTGCCCCATCGGCCGTCAGTTCTGCGTATTATGTACCCTGCTCATTGCCACTTCAACTTATACGAAATCGAATCAGAAATGAGGAGATACTTAAACGAGCTAAAGTCGCTGACGCTGACATAGCCTGACGGATCAGCAAGTTCAAGTGATGCACTTTCCATTTCCCAGGACGCCTGAAGCGGGCATTCGCTTCCTGCACCCGGGCGAGTTTTCGTGGAGGCTCTTAAACGCAAATTCTAAGATAAAGCTACCTACTTGAGTTTTTAACACGACAGTATTTTTTGTGTACAGATGTGACGAACGGCTGTGCCTGTCGCCCGGATTGCTGTGTGACGGCCAGCCACATTGTGAAGACGGGTCTGACGAAGCTCCTACCTTTTGTAGTCAGAAAGATCAGGTAAGATGTCTCATTGTTAATAGTCGCTGCTCCTAAATAACGTTATAAACACAGGCCCGATTTAGAGATCCGGAGGCCTCGGAACAATAAAGGAGTGGAAGCCCCCTGGTCCAATTTTCCAAATGAAATGGACAATCTATAATATAAAAATGAATCGCAAAATGTGTTGGTAAGCGCATAACTCAACAACGCCTGGACCAATTTTACCATGTACGAGCCATCGTACATTATTACTTGCACATTTCCTTTTTATATAGTTAAATCATTTATTGCTAAGTAGGCGTTAAACACTTTACGTATAAGTTTGACCTAGTTTTAATTCACGCCTGTAGAATCACTTAGTAATAAATCAGTGTATGAGCAGCACTCAAACGGGTCGGTTTTATTTAGCACTCTTAGGAGTAACCCATCCCTCATCAGCAAGCATAGCATAGCAACTATTACATTTCTTTGGTCCTTCGAGCAAAACGGTTGCGGGGCCCATCGGTGATCAAGTNCGCGTAACAAACATAGAAAAAAAAAATACATACATACGGGTCGAATTGAGAACCTCCTCCTTTTTTGAAGTCGGTTGAAAATTAAGAATGTATGTACACGAATTTCCTTTATATGGGCAAAAGCAAATCGAACTAAATCTAAATTAATAGAAAAGCACTCTGATTGGTTGAAAATTATGTCGAAAATATTGATGTTGAGCTAACTGATTTTCGTTTAAACCTCATCACGATGACGCTAGGCGGTTTTTCTTGAACTCTGAAATTTCAGCTGAAATTACTGGTATCAAGAAAAATCTACTAGATCGGTGCTGGACCATACTTCAGTGTTTAAATTCGGGATATAACATTAATAAAACGAAATTCGAAGAGTTCGCTAAAGAGACAGCTCGACAATTTTTACCAAGTATCTTTGGTATAATAAATGCCTGCTTCCGTTCACAAAGTACTAGTTCATGGTACTAATGTTATAGATCACGCTTTATTGGCAATCGGGGAGTTGTCTGAAGAACAAACACATTAAATCATTTAGACGCAATTACACACGAAAATTGAGCCGCATCTTGACCAATAAAGATTAGGTCAATAGGCTTCTTCTTCATTCAGACCCCCTCTTATCAAGTCTACGTAAGATAAGTTTAAAAAAATGTGCACTGGATTTGTTATGTATTTAAAATATTATTTTTTGTGTTGAAAATTGGAATTGTTATGTGTACTTATTTAAAATTAATTATAAGTATTCTTGCAATTTTATTGTATACCTTTATAGTTAACTAATAATATAAATAACCATTAATCACAACATTCTAACATTATAAGTCGCAGTATTAAATGTTTAATTTTTTTTTGTCTAAAACAAAATTACTATGAGTAATTTTTTCACCTGAAACTTAGACATTTGTGTTGCGAAATATCATAATTATGTTAAAATTTTAATTATTTGTGTATATTCTAACATGTTTCAACATATAAAATAAATAAAACCACTTTATTTTGAAGTCAAGCATTTATGGCCGCCTTAGTACGGAGCGTGAATCACAGTGCAACGCCGACGTCGTACGAGGCGTTGCAGAGCCCGCAGCGGTCATACGCCGCCACCAGCACCGCTCCCTCCTCACCCCCGCCGCAACGGGACCCGGAGGTCGAGCGGACGGAAGCGGCCCCTGCGCTCCACCGAACCACCGAGCAGCACCAGCGCTCCTACCCGCCCATAGTGGTCGAGAGCCTGAGGAACTGGCCTCACAACTTCCGGAGCTTGTATGACAAGCTGGGCCATGCACCGAACGCGCGCCCCTACAAGTCCGGCGTGCGTTTTATCGCGCGCACGCCCGAGGAATATCGGGTGGTGCAGCGCCACCTGACGGAGGCAGCCGAGAGCGACCCGGGCCTACATTGATTCAGCTACTCGCTGTCCTCCGAGCTGCCCACCAAAGTGGCCATCAGAGGGCTCCCGGCGGCCACAGATCCCGCCGAAATCAAGCACGCTCTAGAAGAGCTGGGCTTCGAGGCAAAACACGTCCGTCCGATCCCACCGAAGCGAGGCCGCTCCGGCTGCCTGTACCACGCGCAGCTGGCGCGCCTCAACCGGCAGGAGCTCTCCCGCTTGTACGCGGTGACCGAGCTCCTGCACATGCCGAGTAACCCATCCCTCATCAGCAAGCATAGCATAGCAACTATTACATTTCTTTGGTCCTTCGAGCAAAACGGTTGCGGGGCCCATCGGTGATCAAGTGCGCGGTAATCGAGCAGAGTTTCGCGTGTGATCATTTGTGCCGTTGTGGTAACAACTCGTAACACCAACATCATCGGTCAGCATCAGCATTAGTCACTTGGCAAGGGTCAGGTGGCTCAGCAGCACTGTCAACAACTTCCTTCTGGATCCACGGGGGGAGACACGACAGTAAGCAGTTAGCAGTCGCAGTTCATCAGTCAATCAAGTAAGATTGTTCCTTTATCACTTTAACTTCCAATTCATCATGGAAGGCATCATCATTCGTCAAAAAGAAATTGTTGACAAACTAAAGCAAATTCAATCATCCTTTGGAAAGGATTCTTCTACTAGAAAAACGCCGGAATACATCCAAAAGCGTTTAGAAGCAATAGATAATCTCTGGGGAGAATTTGATCAAAATCATACTGAATTACAATCCGTAGAGGATAAATCGCAGCAATATTTTACTGAAAATATTTACGAGCAAATGTTTGATTTTTACAAAGCATTACGAGAAACCATCTCTTCTTACGGAAAGGAAGAGAAGGCCGCCCAATCAGATAGTAAAGTTATTGAACTTCTAGGGCAACAACGAACAAATTTTAGAGCATTAAATAGGCTTATACAGAGCATAAATACAAACGAAATCAATGAAAAATGGGAAATCGAGGATGAATTACGTAACTTACAAGCGCGGTGGAACATCATAGATAGCATGCACTTGCAAATAGATAACATATTGCAAGGCAGTGATATATTTTACGAAAAAGAACTTTCATCTCACGAATCTTCTTTTAAACGCATAAAGAGGATTTTAAATCAGAAGTTGTGTTCGTCTACTCATGTTCAGCAAGCTACGCCAGTGTTAGATATACCTGTTTTTACGGGAAAATACACTCAGTGGCCCACATTTTTTGACCTATTTGTGGAAACTATTCACAATAACAACATTTTGTCCAAAACTCAAAAAATGCAGCACCTTAAGGGTAAAGTCAGAGGGGAGGCTGAACGTCTCATTCAGCATCTCACTATATCAGCAGAAAATTACGATACCGCATGGGAAATATTAATCCATAGGTATAATAATCCGCAATTATTATTTACCAAGCAAATTGAGATTTTTCTTAATCAACCTAACATCAATAAACAGTCATCTTTTGAACTTAAACGTTTATATGACACAAGCACCGAATGTATTCATGCAATCCACAATCTTGGAGTGGATACTAGCACCTGGGATCCACTATTAGTTCATCTTCTAGCCAAAAAGTTAGACATGGATACCTATAGCGATTACAAGGAGGCTCGTAAATCTCCTAGAGATTTACCAGCGTTAGATGAATTCATGGAGTTTTTAGAAACAAAATTCATTGCTCTCGAACCTATACATAAACGGGAAAGAGAGTATACTTCTCCTAAAAGTAGTTCAACATCTCAATATCATTCCAAGCCATCATACAACAATAATCAAGGTCAAGGGAAACCTTTCTCCAAATTTTATAAAGCAGCATCAACTTATACTCCAAAATGTCCATTATGTACTCATGATCACGAATTATATCGTTGCCACAAATTCATTAGCATGACAGCGGATATGAAATTAAAAACTGTGTCGAAATATAAAGTATGTCAAAATTGTCTATTCAAGCATATTGGTAAATGCTATTCCTTAAAACGTTGTAAGGAATGCAATGACGAGCATAATACTTTACTGCATGATTCATTTGCGCAATCGAACCACATAGCAACGAAACAATCGAGTTCGACACCTACTGGTTCATCAGCAAAATCGATTGACAAACAGCATTGCGTTAATCACGTGGCTTCCGAAGATGAGGAAGTTTTGTTAACAACTTTATCATTGAGAGTGAAGGCCGCCGACGGAACCTACGTCACTCTCAGAGCATTACTAGATCAGGGATCACAAATAGCACTTATCTCTGAGAACGCTGCACAGATGCTAGGGTTGCAGAGACAACGTTATCATGCATCAGTTTCAGGCATAGGAAACGGTTCCAAGACTAGCAAAGGAGTCGTATCCATTGAATGCCAATCTATTTACAACGACTACAACTTTACAACACAAGCATTAGTAATATCACGTGTTATTAACAACTTACCGAACAGCTCATTTAGCAAGCAATTTTGGCCACATTTACAGCATATAGATTTAGCAGATCCTGATTACAACGTATCCAAACCGATTGACATTTTATTGGATGCGAGTGTTTATTCGGATATAATTATGAGCGGTTTGATTAAAGGCCCTGTCCAGGCGCCTATAGCACAGCAAACAAAGTTAGGCTGGATTCTCTCTGGCAATGTAAAAACTTTTAACTGCCACGTAGTCATCAACGAATTGAAAGACATAGCAAAGTACTGGGAGTTAGAAGATATAAATGAAAGCACTAGCACATTGACTAGAGAGGAACAGTACTGCGAAGACTTTTATCAGGCTACTACAACTCGCCTAGACAGTGGGAGGTATGTAGTGGCACTTCCAATGAAGCAAGATTTTGAACAGAGCTTAGGTTCATCTAAACCGAAAGCTATAGCACAATTTAAGCAATTGGAGCATAAAATGGCAAAAAACAGTGCATTCTCAAGCAGTTATAAGCAGTTTATTCATGAATATCAAGAGCTAAAACACATGCGTGAGGCTGGTGGTGACGAACCTAGTTGTTACTTACCTCATCATGGCGTCTTCAAGTTAGACTCAAGCACTACAAAACTACGTGTAGTATTCAATGGCTCATCAAAGACCACCACAGGCCACAGTCTGAATGACTTGATGGAATGTGGTCCCAACCTTCAAGTTGACCTACAAAATCTCATCNCGCCCGAGGCGTCCCGACGCCCGCAGAAGGGGCACCACAGGAGCGCGAGCGCACGGCGCAGCGGCAGGACCCGCGCTTGCTCGCTCGCGCCCTCCCCCCGGCGCCCCGGCCGGCCCCCCGCCCCGCCCCGCAGGCGGAAGCGGACGAGTGGCCGCCGCTGCCGCCGCCCGAACGTGTGGCCCCACACGCCGCCCCTCCGGCGGAAGCGGACGAGTGGCCACCGCTGCCGCCACCCGAGCACCTGGCCGACCCCACCTCCTTCGTGCGCCAAGCGACGGACACGATCGTCCAGGTCCTGTCCGACCTGGCGTACGGAGAGGAAGACCTGCGGGAGACGGCGCAGCGTAATCTTGCGCTGCTCCGCCAGAGGTTCAACCTGGAGTAAAAATCTCCCCTGGCGCCTCGCTCGCCCGCCTGCTCGCTGGTAGCTCACTGGGCCTCGACGAACGTCGACTCACCCGGTGGGTTGTACCGCGCCGAGGGCGGGCCGAACGAGCGAGGCGAACACAGCCACCGGACGGAGGAATCTGCCCGAGAAGAAGCCCGGGTAATGAGCGTGAAGCTCGAGACCCGCACCGGCCTAACAAGCCGAAGAAGCCAGGATCGATCGGCAAACACCAAGGAACTGGTGGCTGACTTATCATCCAATCAAGTTGAAACACCCTTCGATTTCAAATGTTCAGAGTCCCGTAAGACCCTTGGGCTACGGTGGCATCCTTCAACAGATAATTTTTCATTTCAAAGTACTATTGATCAAAAGGAAGCCAATCATACTAAACGACAACTTCTATTCTGATATCTCCAAAATTTTCGACCCACTGGGTTGGCTTTCTCCTCTTACAATTAAAGCAAAATTATTATTTCAAAAAGCATGGACGTCAAGTATGGCATGGGACGATAAATTATCACAGCAATTGCAAGAGGAATGGCATCTATTAAAAGATGACCTTAAAAACATTGATCAATTTTCGATACCACGTTACTTAGGCAACACATTNTCTCATCTTAAGGTGGAGACAGCATAAATACGTGATAACTGCGGACATCGAGAAAATGTTCCGTCAGATACTCGTCAGGGATTCAGATCAACCCCTACAGTCTATCATTTGGCGCGACTCGCCTTCAGAGCCACTTCGTGAATACCATCTCACGACAGTTACATATGGGACTAAGGCAGCCCCATTTTTAGCAATTAGAACTTTGAGACAACTTGCTAAGGATGACGCATCGAAGTATCCTTTAGCAGCAGCAGCATTAGAGAGTTCATTCTTCACTGATGATCTCCTAAGTGGACATAATAGCATTGAGCAAACAAAAGAGCTACAAAATCAATTAATACAGATGTTACAGGGTGCAGGAATGAATTTGAGAAAATGGTCGGCAAACACCAAGGAACTGGTGGCTGACTTATCATCCAATCAAGTTGAAACACCCTTCGATTTCAAATGTTCAGAGTCCCGTAAGACCCTCGGGCTACGGTGGCATCCTTCAACAGATAATTTTTCATTTCAAAGTACTATTGATCAAAAGGAAGCCAATCATACTAAACGACAACTTCTATCTGATATTTCCAAAATTTTCGACCCACTAGGTTGGCTTTCTCCTCTTACAATTAAAGCAAAATTATTATTTCAAAAAGCATGGACGTCAGGTATGGCATGGGACGATAAATTATCACAGCAATTGCAAGAGGAATGGCATCTATTAAAAGATGACCTCAAAAACATTGATAAATTTTCAATACCACGCTATTTAGGTAACACATTAATTACATACAAAATACACGGATTTTGCGATGCATCCGAAAAAGCATACGCGTGTTCTATTTACATCGTAACAAATAACAATAAAGGAGAATGCACATCGACATTAGTAATAGCAAAAACAAGACTAGCTCCATTAAACAAGCAAGTCTCACTACCGAGGCTTGAGTTGTGCGGTGCACAACTTTTATCACAACTTATGAAGAAAGTTGTCCAAGCATTACCTAATAACGACAACGTATCAATTCACGCATGGACTGACTCCATGGTGGCCTTAGGATGGATCCATGGAGATGTCACGCGTTGGAAGCAATTTGTAGCAAATAGAGTCAATCAAATCAAAGAGGTCATCCCAGCCTCTCAATGGAATCACGTGCGGTCAGAAGACAACCCAGCTGATTCCGCAACCAGGGGTTCAACAGTGAAAACCCTACTAGAGCATTCGTTGTGGTGGCAAGGGCCCAAATGGCTTACTACATTTGACCCCAATGAATTTAGCAACAAAAAATATCAAAGCCCAATGATAGAGGCAAAACAAGCATGTGTAAATACTGCTTTACATCATAGCAACCAATCTACACTTATAACTGAATTACTGCAAAATAATAATTCAATTACTCGCGTTATAAAAACAATAGCATGGGTTTCACGTTTCGTGGCGCGCTTGCGTCATAGGTCATCGGAGTGTAATGAACTTCTATCGCCAACTGAAATTGAAAATGCATACAACATTGTCATCAAAGACACTCAAGCAAGAGATTTTGAAAATGAATTAATTCAATTACAGAGCAAGGGCCACGTGAAACCAAATAGCAAGATAGCAAGTTTACATCCATTTTTAGATGAGCATGGAATCATGAGAGTTGGTGGTCGGCTAAATAATTCGGATCTCAGCAGCTCTGCCAAACACCCGATCATTTTATCAAATCATAGCCGACTTACGGACCTCATTATCAGTCAAGGACACATAACAACCCTACACGGGGGTCCTAGACTTACACTATCATACATCAGAGAGAAATACTGGATTCTTAGTGGAATGAATACAGTAAAAAGACAACTCAGAATGTGTGTAACATGTAGACGTTATAGCACTGAAAAGAGACAGCAAATAATGGCAGACTTACCTCGGGCTCGGGTAACTCCATCACGTCCCTTTGCACACACAGGAGTTGACTTCACAGGTCATGTTGACCTGAAAGCAAGCAAGGGTAGAGGCGTACGGTGTCATAAAGGATACATAGCAATTTTTGTATGTCTCTCTACCAAAGCAGTTCATCTCGAGCTGGTCTCGGACCTAAGCACGCCTGCCTTCCTAGCAGCGTTTCGTCGCTTTTGTGCACGTCGTGGTGTTCCTACTCACATGTACAGCGACAACGGCACTAATTTTGTAGGTGCCAATCGATTACTGAAAAAAGAGTACAAGGAGATAACAGCAAATATCAATCATGAGTTCTTCAACAACATAGCCGAATGGGATATAAAATGGTCATTTAACTCACCCGCATGGCCGTCCGCAGGGGGTTTGTGGGAAGCAGCAGTCAAGAGTTTTAAACACCACCTAAAACGAACACTTGGCGAGCAACGACTCACATACGAGGAGTTTAGCACATTAATTCAACAAATAGAAGCCTGTCTCAACTCGAGACCCCTATTCCCTCTGACTGAAAACCCTGAAGATGACTTTCTAACACCAGGTCATTTTCTTATTGGTGGCTCTCTATTATCACGACCTCAGGGAGATGACAATATGAACCTTCCCAGTAGATGGCAACTTTTACAAAGCATGATAAAGCATTTTTGGAAGAGGTGGTCAACAGACTACCTTCAGCAGCTCCAAGCTCGATCCAAATGGAGAACTCCTAGCAAAAACATCGATATCAACGATATTGTTCTAATCAAGGACGATTACTTACCGCCCGGGAAATGGGTCATGGGCCGAGTGTATGACATCCACCCCGGTAAAGACGGATACGTTAGAGTAGTATCTGTCAAAACACAAAACAGCATAATAAAAAGACCGATTACGAAATTGGTACTTTTACCTGTTCATGAGATGTCATCAGAACAGAATCAGCATCCAGCAAAGCAAGAAGTACAGCAAGGCACAAATAAAAGGCCTAACAGAAGCAGTAATAAAATAATCAATGGCTTAGTAACAACTTTATTGTGTTTTGCAATGTTAATTTCACCAACTGTCCAGCAAAATTCACAGCCCTACAACGTCACTCAAATTACAGAAAACAAGGGGTTGTACTTCGACAAAATATCTAATCTACAGTACATCAGAGACGAGTGGAAGCTTGTTGTCTATTACAACTTATCATCTTACTATCAAGGATTAACAAACATTGAATCTTATGTAAATCATCTATCACAGAGCTGCAAACCTCTACCTAAACAATATCAAACACTTACCTCTCAATTAAATCATGAATTGAGCGAAATTCAGCATTACAACAAGTTGTTACAATTTCAATACAACAATCGACAGAAGCGTGGGTTGGTCGATGGAGTCGGCTACATCGCTAACTCATTGTTTGGAGTGTTAGATGAGAGATTCGCAGAGAAGTATGCAAAAGATATCGAGCAGGTGACTCACAATGAAAAACACCTTCAAAATTTGATCAGAAATCAGACTCTCATTCTCGAAGCTGAGTCTAACATCATACAACGCAATGAGAAAATCATGAACACTCAGTTTACATTCGTCAGACAGCACCTTCGCAACTTAACTGACGAAATTAATCACGTTCGCCTAGATGTTCAGAACGACCTCTACGTGACGTCATCAGCATTAGTAGCAAACATAATCATCTCCAATTTAAGGCGCATGCAAGAGACATTGATAAATACAATCACCGACATAAGACACGGTCGCATCGATACTCATTTATTGTCGCCTGAACAACTACAGTATCAAATTCTAACTATATCAAGTCAACTACAGGGTGATCTCGCTATACCTGTAGAACAAAATCACTTTACCGACATCTATAAAATGTTAAAGGTGTCATCGAGATTACATAACAGCTATCTAATCATTGAAATCAGAATACCGCTTGTAAACAAGGAAATTTATGAACTTGACAGAGTTATAACTATTCCTCAAAACAAAAATCAGCAGACATATTATATCATTCCTAGTCATCCTTACATAGCCTTCAATCTTAGAAAAGATACGGTTATGTTCTTATCAGATGATGATCTGCTTTTATGCATTCATGCCTCTGAAAACAGAATATTATGCTCACTCGATACGCCTATATACGACATTAGAATGAAGCAGTCCATATGTGAATTAACTATTAGTAATTCATATACAAAAACAACACTCTGTAAATACGAGCAATCAAGTTGTACGAACAGATGGATCAAGTTGCACGCGCGGAACGACTGGCTGTTCTCGTGTTGCCAAGAATGCAGCGTTCGCATTTTCTGCACAGCTGGTGTGTCAATGTTATCGTTATCAGGTAACGGCCTTGTCACCCTAGAGCATGGTTGTGTACTCAGGGACAATGACCTGTCAATCTATACTCACAACAACTACATGAATCATATGACAGTNTTAAGTGAATTAACTATTAGTAATTCATATACAAAAACAACACTCTGTAAATACGAGCATTCAAGTTGTACGAACAGATGGATCAAGTTGCACGCGCGGAACGACTGGCTGTTCTCGTGTTGCCAAGAATGCAGCGTTCGCATTTTCTGCACAGCTGGTGTGTCAATGTTATCGTTATCAGGTAACGGCCTTGTCACCCTAGAGCATGGTTGTGTACTCAGGGACAATGACCTGTCAATCTATACTCACAACAACTACATGAATCATTTTTTTTTACGAGATTGTAATAATATATAGAATCCATTATTGGCTGTAAGAACAAAAATACCTGTTTGTATTATTATTATAAAGAGCTGTGGTTTTCTGAATAAAGAAAAATAAAAATAAAATAAATAAAATAAATATGACAGTTCAAAACGATATCAAAGTCCCAGAGTTATCTATCTTGAACAACATCATCAACACCACCATCACGGATGAGATGATGATACCAGAGAATCACACACTCATGTGGCAGCAGCTTAAAGGAGCAAATGGAGAACCTGAAAGGACAATCTTACTCTGACCTCAGCATCCACGATGTCCATCACTACACGACAACATATGCAATCGTAGCAGTACTACTAGCAGTAGCGGGGACACTCGCATACTTGAAGATCAGGAGACACCGGCAGGCGCGGGCGCGGCAGGTGGCTGCCGACGCTCCGGCGCCGGCTCCTCGCAGCAGCGCAGTGGGTAGTGTTAGTGATCTAGTGAGTGTTACTTCAGCTCCCATTGAGTTGAACTTACTGCGTAAGTCAGTAAGCAGTGTCAGTGTTGATCAAGGGACATCCCCCATGACGCCTATCGCGTCACGGTCAGTGTCGTTTCACGTCCCAAGTGTAGAGTCACGCGAGTGAATTAAAATTATGAACAGGACATCAGTAGTTAAGTTTAGTTCAATAAATCATAATTATATCATCTTGATATTATAAAACAGCATTTATATCATTATGTCTCATCAAGCACAGTAGCATAAGATACTAACCCAAACTATTGGATTCACCTTGTATCACGTAACAGCACTGTATATCATTTTAGTATTAAGCATCATTATTTTTGAGCACTATATAAATCAATCATCATCCTTCTCACCAATTAACTATTTTAAGCAATTGTATTTTAATGTTTTCTTTTGCTGGTGAGAAAGATGTACGAGCTATCGTACATTATTACTTGCACATTTCCTTTTTATATAGTTAAATCATTTATTGCTAAGTAGGCGTTAAACACTTTACGTATAAGTTTGACCTAGTTTTAATTCACGCCTGTAGAATCACTTAGTAATAAATCAGTGTATGAGCAGCACTCAAACGGGTCGGTTTTATTTAGCACTCTTCGGAGTAACCCATCCCTCATCAGCAAGCATAGCATAGCAACTATTACACTCATATTTGGGGAATGTACAAATGCATCATGAGTCGAGTCTTATATTAAAAGGATGCCAACGATTTCAAGGTCACCCTGTATAATGACAGTGTTACTGTGCGAGCGTGGTGTTACCTGCGTGAGCGTGGTGCGGCGGGCGCGCGCGTGCGCGGCGAGCACGTCGGCGGCGTGCGGCGCCAGCACGAGCGCGGGCCGCGCGCGCCCGCTCCAGCGCGCCGCCCTGTATAATGACAGTGTTACTGTGCGAGCGTGGTGTTACCTGCGTGAGCGTGGTGCGGCGGGCGCGCGCGTGCGCGGCGAGCACGTCGGCGGCGTGCGGCGCCAGCACGAGCGCGGGCCGCGCGCGCCCGCTCCAGCGCGCCGCCCTGTATAATGACAGTGTTACTGTGCGAGCGTGGTGTTACCTGCGTGAGCGTGGTGCGGCGGGCGCGCGCGTGCGCGGCGAGCACGTCGGCGGCGTGCGGCGCCAGCACGAGCGCGGGCCGCGCGCGCCCGCTCCAGCGCGCCGCCGCGCTCACCGCCTCCGCCCCGCCCCACCAGCCCGCCCCTATGACGTAAAACGATTTTACGTGGTTTGGTTTGGTATCTATTCGGAGTAGATGCGTCGCGCCACAGAATATAATAAGTACTACGTACAGAAGTTTTACTTCGCGAAGGTATTTAAAAAAATGTATGCTCAATGTCATTAACAATATGGTGTAATTTAGCCTGTCTCAAGAGTCAAGCACCATTTTGTTGACAGACGTCAGTGATCGGCACTGCGCCGAAGCTATAGGGCTGACTTCGGTAAAATGATGTGACGTGAGGTGCCAAACTGCGGAAAATGGCGGAGGAAATACATGATTTCTGGGGATTTAGCATGAATAATCATGAATAATATTAACTACTTATTTACCTCTCAGTGTCTTGAGGCAACTTAAAAAAGTACATTCTGTGTTTTTATTATTATTTAGGCAGTTAAATACTGCACAGTATTTAGTACTCTATTTTCTTTATTTTCTTCCATCATACACAAGAATACGCGTGCGTGAGTCAATATTCGCTCGTATGTGAGGCCTTGTCGAATAGTATCCTGTAGGTGGGCCATCGTGCGTGTTCGGTTTTCGATGTAAACTCGCGGAGATGAACAGGCCTGGTCGCGCTAAAAAAACCCAGCCCTGGCGGCGGCGTGAGGTTTTTGAAGTTATATTAGACGCGACCCTCCCCGGCTTTGCACGGGTGCTGAGTATACATATAAACCTTCCTCTTGAATCACTCTATCTATTTAAAAAAACCGCATAAAAATCCGTTGGGTAATTTTAAAAATCTAAGCATACATAGGGACAGACAGCGGAAAGCGACTTTGTTTTATACTGTGTAGTGATTCCGATGAAGTTTACGCTCCACCCCGCGCCCATCCAGCTTCAAAGCCCGAAATCTTTGAGCTCGAGCAGCAAAATCGTTTCGATGATCGTTTATGAGTCCGCTTCCAACATCAGAACTCTTGAAACCTATCTGATTGCAGCGAGTGGTGAGACGGAAACGAAATATCTCCGAAACTGTTCTCTACCGCCCTGATTAAATATTAAATTTGTACTCGTAAATATCAAAATGTGCACATATCTAATACGGAGATATCAAAATGGAGCTAAGATAAGGCAACGTTCATAGTCATGTTGGGTCAATGCGAACAATTTGTTAGTGTGATCCTTTACAGTGGTCTACTACTAAAGTGACCCACTCATAACCTATAATAGGTAAACTGGCTTAAGTTTACCGACCATAGGCCAACGATAGGCAGAAGTAAAATTAAGAGTCCTTACCCAACAGTTCATCAACGAACGCAATAATGGCCCTGTACAAAGTGTCAGGTCGCAAAGCAGCAATGGCCACCACGGCTTCGAATGAACTCAGTCGCAAGCGAGAGACCACGTTGAGATCGCCGGACGATAAGAACTCAGTCCATAGATCAGACTTTTGCAACGACAGCTTGTTGAAAAGGTCTTCGTCGACAGTCTGTAGAAAATATTAAAAAAATCATTCATACAAGGCTAATCTAAAGCAAAGCCATCAGAGAACACAGGTTTCCATGGAAGAACTTACCTTCAACTGAACAATTCTATTGATCCGATCGGTTGGTATCCACGAGTACATTTTCTTGATTTCATCTATGTTCCTTTGTTCATCATTTCCAATCACATTACCAAGAAATAGTTGCCAAAGCTGTAAATAATGCGTTATTCATTAAGAGCGATTACATACATAAAATATTAATTTTAGATGGTGATGTAACTTTCTAGATATTTACCTTGTCTGGCATAGCTTCGGAATAAACTTGCTTCAATATATGCAAGACAATAATATATTTATCCTTCTTATGAAGTCCTAGTAGAACTCTTTCTATAATTCTTCTAGTTATGAATTTGATCACTTCGTCATTATCAATTTTGTTAGGATCCTGAAAATGAATGATATGAACATAAAATCCACAGATGTTATCTAGCTATATCACAATATAACAAGCTCGGCTCTATGTGGTAAATAAAAGATTACAAAAGTAATGAGTTACTACACTAGCTTTTACCCGTGACTTTACCCGCGTAAAATCAGTCACATATCGTTATAAATTATAGCAGTAGGTAAAGTTCGGTCGCCGAGCACATAGAATTTCGTCCAATGACCCAAGCTACCCATCCTTATCGCTCGCGCGTAATTATATTGATGTCGCGACTGTGCGACGGGCGGCCGCAGTGAGTGTGCGAGCGCGACCGGACTTTTGTAGTAGGATAAGCAGCAAACAAAATGTTACCCCTCTGCGTAGAGCGTCGACATAAACTTCCAATACCACGTCGACTGGCAGCGCCAGGAGTGGGCGGTGCACCGCCAACCTCTTTACTGCCAGCGCGAGAGACGCGACGCGAGCGGCGCTTGGCCTGTTGACAGTGGCGGGTATTAGTATATTTTTAGGTAGGTAGCCCCTGCTTACTTTAGCAAATTTCATAGCATTGATTTTAAATCAAAATCAATATAACAGTTTGTCAATTTTGTCATGTAGGCACGGTACTGCCTTTTGCATATATGCACCATTCCTATCTAAATAAAATAAAATAAAATTTAAATCAATCGTAGGCGTAAGTATACCCGATTGTTTACCTGAATTTATCCAGTTTTGGACTATCTCTGGACCAGCTAATCTTCATAGTATAATGTATTGCAAATCTTTGTACTTACATGTTCGTCCGCTGTCTTTTCGTACGTCATAGTGTTTTGACACATTCAATCATAGACTGACCTGTAGGTGTCACAGGCAGCTCGAGTGCTAGCAGAGATAGCGTGCGCCGCCGCCAGCGCTTCGGCTATGGTGGCGACCGTCTCGCGCGTTTTGTTCAGCGAAGCGAGTAGGTTCGCGTCGTGTAGAATGTCGTTGTTTTTCGACAGATCTCGTAGGAGATTTTCCTAAAAAGTATATTCATTTTTATAAACTTTATTAGTTGTGTAAAGTCGTGGGTTAACGTGGTAAAGATACATAATATATGGAAAGTTCCTGAATGGTATTTCTAATTATATTAATTTACTCATTCATACCTGTAACTCATATTGCTGCTTTTGAAGAGTAGCTTTTTTCAGCTTTATCTCTTTAGATTTTTCATTAACTTCTGGATTCAATCGCTGCAGAGCGTAGAACACCAATTGATCTGGGAATAAAAAAATAAATGATAGGAAAGATGTCGAAACAGAGCATACAAGTCTGAAACACATCTGAAGTCTTGCTGAAATTTGACGTCACAAAAAACCTCCTATGCCACTCTCATAAATCAGACATTGACTCAGTTATGCGCTGGACCTATAGCTACGAAGCACTGTATGTATACCTGTCGTTTCTCCGGTATCTAGCGCTTCTGGCCCACTCGCTAATCGCTCATTGGGGCTCGACAAACATCGACCTATTCGATGGGCTTATACCGTGTCGAGGGCGGGACAATGTTACTCGGGTCGAGCTTCAGTTAAGTCCGTCGCAGAAGCGACGAGAAGCCCGCGTCATGAGCGTCAGCTGGATGCCTGCATCGGCCGCTGGCTGAAGGAATCAACGATGTATGTACCTGTGAGAGCCTTGAGTCTCGCGGTGAAGTGCAGCGGGGATTGGCGGGCGGCGTCAGAAGGTGTCATCCGTGGTGTGATTGTCAGGCCCCAGAAGGGGGAGAACTGAACATAGGGACAAGGACGAAGAGTAAATAACTTTTAGGGAGTGAAGAAGTGTGGCGCGGTGGAGTGCTATCTGCCCTCGGCAGCCGCAATTTCGCGCACACCTCCCGCGATTCGGCCAGTATAACCGCAAGGTTGGTATGGCAATGGGTGGTGGTGGGTTGAACTACACCCGAGCCTGGGAGCCGCGGGTACCTGTGAGCGCCTCGAGCCGCGCGGTGAAGGGCAGCGGGGACAGGCGCGCGGCGTGCGGCGGCGGCAGGCGCGCCCCCACAGACACCAGCAGCAGCCCGCCCAGCCCTGCTGCGCGCCCGAGCCTGGGAGCCGCGGGTACCTGTGAGCGCCTCGAGCCGCGCGGTGAAGGGCAGCGGGGACAGGCGCGCGGCGTGCGGCGGCGGCAGGCGCGCCCCCACAGACACCAGCAGCAGCCCGCCCAGCCCTGCTGCGCGCCCGAGCCTGGGAGCCGCGGGTACCTGTGAGCGCCTCGAGCCGCGCGGTGAAGGGCAGCGGGGACAGGCGCGCGGCGTGCGGCGGCGGCAGGCGCGCCCCCACAGACACCAGCAGCAGCCCGCCCAGCCCTGCTGCGCGCCCGAGCCTGGGAGCCGCGGGTACCTGTGAGCGCCTCGAGCCGCGCGGTGAAGGGCAGCGGGGACAGGCGCGCGGCGTGCGGCGGCGGCAGGCGCGCCCCCACAGACACCAGCAGCAGCCCGCCCAGCCCTGCTGCGCGCCCGAGCCTGGGAGCCGCGGGTACCTGTGAGCGCCTCGAGCCGCGCGGTGAAGGGCAGCGGGGACAGGCGCGCGGCGTGCGGCGGCGGCAGGCGCGCCCCCNATCGCCTGAACAATTACAGTATCAAATTCTAACTATATCAAGTCAACTACAGGGTGATCTCGCTATACCTGTAGAACAAAATCACTTTACCGACATTTATAAAATGTTAAAGGTGTCATCGAGATTACATAACAGCTATCTAATCATTTTAGGGCGAGCGAAAGNGCAGACACCAGCAGCAGCCCGCCGCCGCCCAGCAGCAGCGGCGCCCAGCTTTGGTGTATCCCGTCCACGTCCGTGATCACTAGCGTGCGTCCGAGCCTGGCGAAAAAGCGGATAGATAAATTAGATACTCTTTATTTATTTATTAGGTACACCAACAAAGTCACATACTTAGTACAGTTATACATTTTAACATGGTACGTATATGACCTCAATTACAGGTATACACAGCATTTCTTTTTTCAATGTTAGGGTAATTATACACTAGTAAAAACAAAAATCTATTTAATAATCAAATGTCAATGTGTATCATTTAGTACCAAATAAATATTTTTTCTTTCTTTCTTTCTTTCAAATAGAGTAAATTAAGTAAGTTTATTGCACACCATACACTGACAAAGAAAAGAAGGAAATTATAATAAAAACAAGCGAGCATCGAAGGTCGCCAACTCGTCTGACTCAACAATCCAACAACGCCTGGACCAATTTTACCAATGCTTTTTTTTTAATGTTCGTTGAAGTTCAATGATGGTTTTTACGGCGAGATTTGCAAAATTCAACCCATAAGTAAGGTACGAAGTCGCGGACAGCCGTTAGTGATGTATAAAACAACATCTGCCAAACGTAACGCCTGAAAATAAAAAAAGACGTGCCGAAAACAGATAAATTACACTCTTTTAAAAAAGCGTACTTACCTGACAGCGTACTGTACGGTAGTGAGTAATTTTTCACTATGCTGCGAAACGAAATCGCACTGCGATTCAGCTAGCGTGTTTTTCAACCAAGCGATCGCCTCACCATCCGGGTCGATAACGAGCGGAGTCAGGCCGCATCGCTGAGCTTGCAGAACCTTCGTGATAAAAAAAACAAATTATTACCATTTTCGACAGTCGCATGATCTGATGGTTCTTGCATCAAACTACAACGTAACCTTGGTTTCAATTAATTTACCTGATCAATGAGCACGGCATTCTTGATAGCAGACGAGTCTGATGGCAGGCCATCCGCCTCCCATTTCAGTTGCTTCTCTGGCGTCGAAAGGAAATTGAGGACTGAGAAAGACTCATCATCGAAACCGATTAGTGAACCCCATTTCTTTAATTGTTGCCTGTAAAATAAAGAGCTATGATATTGGGAACTGAATCATAAAATTAAATTTTATTACTTATAATATTTTCCTTTGTTTACCTTGCTTGCTGTTCAGTTACATCAGGCAAGTAGACTACATAAGCAGCAGCTAGGAGTGAGCGAGAATTCAGTTGTACTATTTCTTTCGATATATTTTCCAGCTGAAAATAAAAAATACTGAATCAATTACATATCATAATGAGATCGCCTGATCTCAGGTTGAGATCTGCGTTATCACGTGAGTGGTGGCTCAAAATGGCATAACTTGCTAGACTAATTAGACTAGATGTAAAATAGCAGTCTTACGTCAGTCTCCCACGCGTCGTACTCTTGTGCCAGCGTGGCGATGAGCGCGGTGGCGGCGGCGATGGTGCTAGTAGCATTTGAAAGGGACAGCTCTAGCGCGGCCGCGTCTCGCGAATGCTGGCCCAGTTGCTGCTGCAGCGCTGCTACGCGCTCCTCTACTGTGGCCAGTCCGCTGGATAAAGCGTGCAGCTGCTCCTCGGCGGCGACAAGATTCCTGAAAGGTGATACGTGATAGAATTTAAAAAATGATTTACTGTAAGGATGTGGTGGCAACACACACTTGGGCAGGGACCAGCGTTGCCAGACGTCCCGATTAAAAAATAAAATAAATAAATTCATAAAATTGGCGGGACGTCCCGATTTTTAAATCAAATTTAAATGTCCCGCGCGGGACAGGCTCGGTCCCGCTTTTCGGAGAGAGATACTCACTTCACCAGACTATTGTTTGAAACGCCATATTATTCTAAAGAATAAAACTTTTTTAATTTCGATTTTTGTTTTTTTTTTTATTCTAAAGACGAATTTAACGATAGAGTAAATCTGATTTAAAATATTATTTTTTTGTTAAAATACATTTTCTATGGCTACTTTTGCTATCTCCTCACATAACGTAATTTTAAGTTTAATAAAAAGATAAATATTTGAAAACCTTTGATTATATACGTTTTTTTACTATGTCCCGCTTCTGACGGAAGAATCCCGCTATTTTCACTCAAAAGGTACCAAAGTCCCGCCTTGGCGAAAAAACAAACTGGCAACGCTGGCAGGGACTATGGCTGCTGGCTCCCTAGCCAGCAGGCGCATGCGCACTGTTGCGGCAGCGTAGGCCAAGTTAGCGAGCACCTAAAGGGGATTGATGGAGGCGTCGAAAAAGGCCTTAACGGCCGAATACTGAAACACTACTCAAATCTGTCACTCAGCTGACGGGCTCCTAAATTTAAGTATCCTTCAATTTTAAATGGTATTCTCAAACGCCACTCAACGGATTTGAAGCCGTGATCAGCTAAGCAGCTCTCAAATGTTTACCTACTGGCAACATTTACCAAAAAAAGTATGTTTTCATTTACACAAATGATAACTTTACGTTTTTTATCCATTACACGCAGCATCGTTCGGTTATGTATTGTCTTTTATGGAAATATACTCAATCAACTTAACATAGAACAGTTTATTTTTAGTTTCTACTAGCTGACCCGGCGAACTTCGTACCACCTCAGCGTAGAGATTTTCTTTATATTTTTTTCCGTAAAAACCTTGTACAGAGTATTAGAATACTACAAAAAAAATCCAAATTCAAATTGGTCAAGCCGTTTTCATGTTATGTCGTGACAACGGAAAACGGGTTTCATTTTTATATATATAGATTATATATAAATCTAGTTTTATCATATAAAAAAATTAATGCTTGCATTTTTATTTAATTAAAAAAATAATTTTAAAGGTGATACTTTTTATTGTTGAAATCTATTAAGTAGCGATGGTGGACCGAAACGTAACCACAATTGACATTTATCATTGTTGACAAAGCATCAAATTGACAAATCAACAACTCTTGGAAATGCTGCTATGCGATGTCCCCATATTCCTCAGAAATAGGCATGTTTATATAAAGCGATTTCATAGCAGCTATTTTGATTGTTACTTTATGCACTAGTACGATGCACAGTTGACTGTTCGATGTGGAAGATATCACCTAGTACACGTTCATAACTTCCCGTTGCGTAGAACAGTAGGGTTATAATAAGTATTTGGTCCACTGGTTGTATGGCGTTTGGTGCGGGGTTTCAAAGAGCTTCCAAATTATGAATCCAGAATAAACACCATTTCTTTAGAGACGCGGAACCTCGCTCGGAATTGCATGTCATTATAATAATATTTTTCAATAGCGTTCAGCCTTTAATAGTGAACATTTAGAAAAACGTATAACTTGACTTAAATATGTTAAAAAATTAGTTAGAAAAAAAAATTGTTGAATATGTTAAAAAAATAGTTTTAATTTAATATGACATTTGTCGATATGTCCCAACACTAACATTTTTGTAACTCGAGATAACCTTGTAGAGACGTCGTTAATACTCTAGCTTGATTTTTATAATTTCGAATTACTACTTATTGGTGTAATTTAACGCTGCATTTACATGAAATTAACATTTTTATTGGAAGCACTGTCGTCGAAAATATTGTTTGTAGGTCAGATGTGAATTATTTCTTGTCCGCCAATATTTAGCTCTCATTGATCGCTACTACAAAGTTATGTCGTTACTTTTGATGGCAGCTGTCATTCTAATCAAGCTATATTGGATAGACTATAGTAATAAAACAGTTGCGGCAGTGTAGTGAGTCTATTATCTCTGATTTCTATGCTCTGACGTTATACAACGTGTTCCATTTGTTTTCCGGAAATTTTAGGGGTATATTCTATAAATAAAAACTAGTTAAAGAGTCTTAGCAACATGTGTTTTTAAAAGCATATTTTTGAAGATATTGTGGATTGCAGATTTAGAAGATACCTAGTTGATTTAGATTATAGCACAGAATAATAATAATAAGTACTACGTACAGAAGTTTTACTTCGCGAAGGTATTTAAAAAAATGTATGCTCAATGTCATTAACACTATGGTGTAATTTAGCCTGTCTCAAGAGTCAAGCACCATTTTGTTGACAAACGTCAGTGATCGGCACTGCGCCGAAGCTATAGGGCTGACTTCGGTAAAATGAAGTGACGTGAGGTGCCAAACTGCGGAAAATGGCGGAGGAAATACATGATTTAGCATGAATTATCATGAATAATATTAACTACTTATTTACCACTCAGTGTCTTGAGGCAACTTAAAAAAGTACATTCTGTATTTTTATTATTATTTACGCAGTTAAATACTGCACAGTATTTAGTACACCCTTTTATTTATTTTCTTCCATCATACACAAGAATACGCGTGCGTGAGTCAATGTTCGCTCGTATGTGAGGCCTTGTCGAATAGTATCCTGTAGGTGGGCCATCGTGCGTGTTTTGTTTTCGATGTAAACTCGCGGAGATGAACAGGCCTGATTATAGTATCATCAATATAGTTCTTTTTTTCAAAATGAGGGGTTTCGCGAATGAAAAATCTGCCAGATGGCAATACGTAGACGCGAGGTCCAAATGCTGCATGATTGGTTATTTTTGACATGACATTGACAGATATTGACAGACTTTTTATTGATAAGTGTATGTAAATTATGAATTATTTCAGTGAAAAATTAAGTTTTTAAATAATTTCGTATGAAAAAATGAGTCGAAAAAATTTTTTGAATTTAACAAAAAATGTAATGCCATTCCATTCGTTGAAGTGGTCTTATTAATACCCTAGAGTTCCAGGAAATCAAAAAGAGCACGTTGTATGTCACTGTCTGAGTTAAGCGCTAGATCTATAGCAGTGGTTCCCAAACTTATTTAGTCTACTGCCCACTTTGAAATTAAATTATTTTTTAGCGCCCCCCATTTTTGTAGTCAAGAGTCGAGCTCAGTCGATGTCTAAGAGTCCTCCTAGTAGATGACGCCTCCCAAGCCTCTACACCGTCCCGATTTTTTTTCTGGGTCTCTTACCGCCCCCCTTTAAGCCTGCAGCGCCCACAAGGGGGCGCCCACTTTGGGAAAGACTGATCTATAGCAACACTCACTTGTGCAGGCGCGCCTGCTGAGCCTGCAGCGGGCGCACGCGCGCGGCGGCGGCGGCGTAGGCCAAGTTGGCGCGCACCCAGGCGGCCAGGGGAGCGCACGCCGCGCTCGCACGCTTGGCCGTGGCCGGCTCGAACGAGCTGCCGCGGGTTTTCAACAGCTTCTCCACAGATTCCGCCGCCTCGGGACTAATCTGACTCGCGTCCATGCACCTGAAGAGGACCGTCTTAATCAATACGAATTTTTAGACAATTTCTTACTCCATCTTTATGGATACGATATTAATATTCATTTTCGGCGATTCGATTACTTGGTTCACTGTTTTTTTTAAACTAAATCTGAAATCATCACATTATTCTAACTTCGTTAAGGTAGACTAACCCTCTCCCTGATGATTTGTGCCCTTGCAGGGCGTCACGTCATGTATATTATTATTCTACCTCTATTTTATAACACCACTAGAAATTTTAATGTTACATGTAATACTCTTTGATACCAAATAAATTTTTCTTTCTTTCTTTCTTTCTTTAATAAACGTTTTGAATTTGAATTCGTTTGCTCTAGCTAAAAGTACATTTAGATAGTTAAATTTTCTCTACTCTTTAATAATTACCTAATGTCTTCTTTGACTCCGCGTTTCGATAGGAAATTTTTCATAGAATGCCAAGAAGTGTCGGCAATACCCATAAGCCGGAGCACTCCTTCCAGCACGTCCCGTACGACATCTGGCGGAGCTCGCAACGATCGTATCTAAAATGTTATAACGTTTTGTTTTATTTTATTTTACGCTCGACGTGTAAAAAGTAAGTCGTATAAAGCAATATAAATACCTCGCTCAGAGATTCAGGGCGTATATCTCCCACAGCCGCCCGGGCAGCAGCGATCACTGGTTCTACTGAAGCTAGTTCAGTCTCGATCTCTTTCTTTCTGTAATTCGAATGCATTAAGAGTAGGCGCACACCGTTGATTTTTCGTCGGCCGATTTAGTCGGGCAGTTGATCAGTATGGGCATGTATGGGAGCGCGCACACTACGCCAATTCGATTTGGCCGATTCTTCATACAATCTAAAATCGGGCACAACTATCGGCCAACTAAAAATCAACGGTGTGCGCCTACTCTAAATGAAACAGTCAACACGTGATTGATTCTTTGACCATCACATGAAGCTTTCAATGATGAATATAAAATAAAACACCTTAAACCTGTCTTTATGAGATTTTAACCTTGATTTCCTTTGCTTTACATACAAAACAAAAAGGTTACTGAGGTTAACGAACATTTTAGCTGAAGATTCTACCACTACATACCGTATCTGTAGCTTCTCATTCTCAGTCTCAATATTGTTCTTGAGCGCGTGCATCTCCTCCCGCTGATCGGTGTTGGCGCGGACGGTGGCGGCGATCTGCTCAAGCGCGCGGTTTGCGCTCTCTTGCTTCTCAGCCAATGCGGCTTTTTGCTCAGCCGCTTCGGCTTGTAAGGTCGCTACCTCGCTGCGCGCTTTGCGTAGCGCTTCTACGCCGGCCTATAAGATGTGTAGTGATGAATGCATTTATTGGTACAAGAAAAAACAGTGATTAAGGGTTCGTGCACACCACGTTTGAACGCCATCGAAACACGTTTTACGATCGCGTGATAGCTGCTAGATTTTCAAATCTTTCAAGTGATAATATCACGAGCACAGCAAGTTTCTATTGTATGAAACGCGCGTCGAAGATGCCTGAAAACGTGGCTTACATGGGTTCTATTCATGTGATGATAAACGCACATTTGCCTTTTATGAATTGAATTAAGAATTGAGCGAACTAAAAACAGAAAATTAAATATTTATAAAAAAGACAAATAACTATACAGTCCTATCAACTTAAGCTGAGAATTGCATTTGTGTGAGTGATCGCCAAAAGTACCGTTAGTAAAACACATACAAATAAAATTAATGTTTTATTAAAAGGAAGTCTATAAAACACTTGCTACCAATTGGGCCGATGTAACGACACTTGACACATCCTTTTAAATAAATAAATAAATAAATAAAAACAGGTCCTCGCTCAGCATATGCCAAGGCACGAAGTACCTCGACGCTGATATTCTGCGAGCACCGTTTATAGAGAGGGCGTTCAGCCAGCCTTATAAAATACAACAAAAAGACAAACTTTATAAAATTACAAAATAAAAACAGACTAAAAACTTTTCGTTCACACCTTTAAAATACGTATTCAATTTGCATAAAATTTCTTTCACTTGGCTGCTTAATGGATTTCGTACAGGAAATTCACTTACAGTAGGAGCCATTTCACTAATATTTGGAACACAATTACATAAAATTACACGTATCTGCTACCAGTACCGGGGGTGAAGTGAAGTATGTGAGCGACAAGGAAGCGGTGCGTGGCGGACGCGCCGCGCTTCAGGCCGCTTGCTATAATAAACCATGCGCGGGACGCGCCGCGCTTCAAGCCGATTGCCACTCTAAACTATCGGTGTGCACTCACACAAATGCAATTCTCAGCTTAAGTTGAGAGGACTGTACATACCGATAGCATGTTCTGTCTCTGAGTTAAAGCCTGCTTTTTCCTGTTCACCAAATTGAAGTACGTCTTGATGAAGTTGATGTAACGACACGGCGCGCGCAACCAATTCGCCTCCAGGCTCTCGTATATTTTGACAAAGCCCTCCGTGGGTATAGTTTGAAGCTCCTCTTTAGATACTTCAGTTATGCTCTCTTTAACTAATCTAAAATCATATTAATGACATTAAAATCTCATGCGAAAGCAAATAAATATTTCTGATTTCTGCAAGCTCTGAAAATATCTAAAATAATGCAGGGTGCAGGAAGGGGCACATGATACACTCGTAACGCGTAGTGAATGTGGAAAACATATTTGTGGCTTGATTGTGTAGTTTAATAGTGAATGAGAACACAAATATGATTGAAAGTAATATGTGAAACAGTGAAAACAAACAACAAAAATAAACAATGTAATGTAAGGGCGTGTCTTCGTGAATGAAACGATCTATTCTATACAGTATATTATTATATGTTGCTACTACACAACCCACTACACTACCTACCTCCAGTGCTGTAGTGCGAAAGTGCGTGACCACAATGTGCATTTCCAGGGTACCTTTGTATGACGAGAGTCGGCATCTGGCGCAGCGTGTCATCGGACCAACGCTCGAGCCACACCACGTGACCAGAGTTGTATAGCAGAGGGTATTTGTCGATCAGTTCCCACACGTTTTCCTGGTCTTTATCTAGGCAGATTACTATTCCTAAGTTCTGCTTTATATCTGGAATTGAAAAAAAAGGTACTTACAATACATTACAAGTTAGTGTTTGTTATTGTATACGCGCTCAAAACCAGGCTGATCTGAAATTCTGAGCAGGCACCGTACAGGTAACTGTACTGCCAAATGCTAATGCTAGGATGCGCTGCGACCAACTCACAAACCAGTACCAGAGAGCCCTATGCTGACACAGTAGCTGACTGTTATGTCTTATGAGTTACGATTTACACGCGCGACAGCTAGGATTATTATCTGAAACCAAAGCTAAACTTTGCAGCATGTGAAAGAAAGAAAGAAAGAAAAATATTTATTCGATGCAAGTAGGTACACAGCAAGATAATAACTAAAACTAGACAACAGAACGGGTACAAGCACCAAATGTGCAGCGTGGTTTACGCAGGCATCATGCTCGGGGCTGTGGCGTGCAGCGCTTCCACGATCAATGTACAGGTAAAGCCTGGTCCGTGAGCACGTAGAATTTTGTCCAATGACCCCAAGCTACCCATCCTTATCGCTCGCGCGTAATTATATTGCTGTCGCGACTGTGTGACGGGCGCCCGCAGTGAGTGTGCGAGAGCGACAGCAATATAATTACGCGCGAGCGATAAGTATGGGTAGCTTGGGGTCATTGGACTACGTTCTACGTGCTCACGGACCAGGCTTTAGCGTAGCCCTTAAAAGGTTATGCCTTACTTTGCAGCATATGCGGCGAGTTCTGCGCGGGCATCATACGCGCGGGCACGGCGTGGACCGAGGCGGCGGCGTGCAGCGCCTCTATGCTCGACAACTGGGAAGCTTCCGCAGCTGATTCGCAAATCAGTACCAGAGTGCGGGTGCCTTCGCCCGCTGAGTTTAAGGCCTGGAAGGAGATTAGAGAGGATTTCAAAAATCTTTTTCGTTCGTGTATATTTTACAAAAGAAATGTTCATATTTACAGAGTTGACGTCACTGAGATTGGTCTGTAATGTTACTCAGTATAATAATAATATCACGAATACAGGTCACTGCAGTTTTCTAATGCTGGATACATTTTTGTTATAGCAAAAATAACTTTAGGTTGTTAAGTAAACCGCTAAAATTAAAAGGTAAGGTAAGGTAGCCAGTTACTTTGAGGTTGAGGATTCTTCCCCTTTCAGCCTGGTCATCACTTTCCATCATGTAAGAAGATGCAGGCCAAGAGCTTCCTCGTTGAGGATAAAAAAAAACTACAACTTACGTTCTTCATGTGCGAGTAGAAGTGCTGCTGATGCGTGATGATAGCTAGAGTTGCCGGCAGCTGAGCGGCGGTGAGATGCGCGGCGGCGCGGCGGCCTACGCCCGCACTTCCCACGATTACGCTCAGACCTATCCCGCCACGACACTGCAAATGTCATATGATAGCTGTCATGTCAGGCTATAATTTGACATCTAGACATGCAATATATTACATAATAATATAGTTCCAAAATACTAAACTGTCCTATCCATGACATTGACAGTGGGGCGCCACCGTCAATATCGGATCGCTGGTTTCGATTTTTGCCATGTTGGAAACCATATAGTAGAACGATGGTAGCGCCCCCCTGTCATTGAGTTTGGTGGGACAGTTCACCGTGGGTTCTAACCGTCTCAACAGAAAATCTTCATACAGCGTCTTCCCTTTATCAGGTACCTAACTAGCTTTAGCCCGCGGCTTCACCCGCGTGAAATTTAGTTTGTCACAGATCGTCATAAATTATAGCCTATATGTTATTCTTAAATAATAATACTGTAAAGTTTCATCAAAATCAGTTCAGTAATTTTTGCGTGAGAGAGAGAGTAACAAACATCCAGACATCCACACAAACTTTCGCATTTATAATATTAGCAGGAAGTAGGATATGATATGGATATGATAGACTTCGCCAAATAAAACGCGTACCCAACGCGCGCTAGAGCGTTAGCCTGACGTCGGGATATAGCGCCGAATTGTGATAGTAGAATGTAGGTAGTTTCATGTCAAACACAGCGCTGGCGCTAGTAGTACCTACACAACGACTCGTATCAACTCAATAACGCGGCGATAGGTACGCGTTCTATTGGGCGAAGCCTTTAAACTTTAATGGTTCTTTAATGTTGGTGAAATTATGAGTGTACCTTTAACCAATCAAGAATTTATACAACAAACTTGCCAACACTGTTACATGGCTACAACTTGTATAATAAATTAGAGATGGGATAAAGAAGGAAGGATCTTACAGCTCGAGCCATAGAAGAGCACAAGGTGCCAATTTCCGCACAAACTTCTGCGCCAGAATCTCCAAACACATTCTCGTTTTCTGACACTAGAAACAAGATAAGTTCAAACATTTTATCCAAGAAATTAACTGTCATATCAATAAGTTATGTTATGCACTTACAACACTGATTTATTAACTTCTGTGTCCTTTGATACCAATCATTGTACTCCATGGCTTCCATGTAAATACCATCAGCTTTCAATTTTGGTGCAAAGTAAATCGTATCTTTTGTATTCGTTTTTAAGAAGTTTCTGGATATAGCGTTATATCTGCCTTTCTCTTCATCGGTAACTAATCTATCCCTGAATATAGAATTTGCTTCCTCTTGAATACCCTGAATAAAAATATACGATTTAATAGAAATGTTAAAATACCTAATATTACATAACGGAAAGAGAGAATCATATTTTATTTAATATTTATCGCCTCACCATAATAAGATCCGTAGAATTCGCTGGTGAGTACCACCTGACATTTTCACACCACTGCCTCAAATGATCGGCATTCCACTTATAGTGGGTTTGCGAGTAAAATGTTTCTGTCACCTAAAACATCAGAAAATGTTAATAAATATTTGTAAGTATTTTCAAATCAATTTTAATTAAAGCATTTCAATTATTTAATGTACTACCTCTTTAAACATTGCGAGCATATTCGTAGCAATATCTGCAACGTCTTTTTCTGAGACATTTTTGTCTACGTTCTGCTTCAAATAGTTTTTGATTAACTCCAATAACTCTTCGTCATCGGGTTCCCTGTAAGTAACATCACAGGTCATATCAGGCATACAATGACTAATCTATCGTTTGGTTGAACGCGTGAATCTGAGGAACTATACTAGGTCTACTGGTACGAATTTTAAAATATTAAGACATTAGACTACAACCAACAGGAGCGAAGCATCAATGAAAAATGTTGAAAAACCAGAAACTATTTTAACGCGTCCGTAGTCGCGACCACTACCATTTATAAAGTGAATCCAAAAGGCTGTTAGGTTGCTTTTATATTAAACAAGTGCTATCGCGTAGCGGGGTTTTAAGTAGAGGCCGAGCGTTGAACATGAACTCCCTGTAGCCTTATTCACGTAAAAAACTTCAACGGCCACAAATCGCTGAGTTGCTATCCTATCGAGTAATCGTTCTATCGAAGTGACCCTTGTGAATAAGGATGTAGAACTGTTTTTCAATAAGACGACTTCTAAACGTCAACGAGATTTTGACTGTGTCAAAATACGTGAATTAGGCCACTGGTTCATGTTAAACCAGAGCGGGCACTCTGACCTTACTTAGATATCGTTGAGTCGAGTGTTTGTTATTTTTGTTTTATTTTGTTCTGAGTTGCGATCCTATCGAGTAATCGTTCTATCGAAGTGACCCTTGTGAATAAGGATGTAGAACTGTTTTTCAATAAGACGACTTCTAAACGTCAACGAGATTTTGACTGTGTCAAAATACGTGAATTAGGCGACTGGTTCATGTTAAACCAGAGCGGGCACTCTGACCTTACTTAGATATCGTTGAGTCGAATGTTTGTTATTTTTGTTTTATTTAATTTTATTTAAAACTAGCTGACCCGGCGAACTCTGTTCCGCCTTAATGGCAATAAATAAGCAGACTTTTTTCAGAGGATAAAAAGTATCCTATGTCCTTCTCCTGGCTCTAAACTACCTCCCTGACAATTTTCAGCTAAATCGGTTCAGCCGTTCTTGAGTTCTTGAATTTTCATACAAAATAAATTTTATAAAATCCGATTTGTATGAAAATTAAAATAATTAAAATGAAGATATCAATTTTCTGACTTCACCATACCATTTATATGTCCATGTTAACATGGGCTAGTGTCGGCTCATATACCCATTTACCTAACACCCTGTATATAAAGATAAGATTCTAATAAAGACTCACGGTACTGCGACATGCGCGAGCGCAGCGGCAAGGCGCGGCGAGGCGGGTGGCGCAGCGGCAGTGGCCAGCAGTTGAAGGCGCGCTACACGGCACCATGTCGCACCGCCTTCGTCGCCGCCGCGGCTCCAGAACCCACCATGTTGGATTAACTGCGCACCAAAAACGACCTTATTTGTTGCCGCTTAAAGTACCTACTTCAGAATCGACAAATCTGTAATGTGTTGCTCATAAGGAGCCTTTAAATAGCTCATTAATTTTTGAGTTGAACTCACAAAGACTTTAACCGTGACACTAACATTACGAGAAGAAATCAACTAGTTTTCCTTATTACAATAATATGACGTTCAAGCACAGGTTCAAATACGAATCTGCACTGAGAAATAAATTGTGCCTGCAAGTGAAGAGTCACGTACTTGATTAAAAGTGCTTTTTTAAAGCCTACTTACAGAAATAAATGAGTTTTACTGAGTTTTTTACTGAGTTTAAACCTGGGGAGTCACAGTTTTTATGAAGTTTGAAACACGAATGATATTTTAAATCAAAGGGTAACTAACAGCTCATGACCATTACCTGCAATAGGAACTGGTGCACAGCACTGCAGCGCCATGAGTCGCTGGAAGCGCGGTCGAGCGAGCGAACCACCAGCGCCAATCGGCCACCACCAGAATCACCCCCGCTGTAACCACCACCCGAACGAACCGCATTATTCTGCAAAGAAGCATCATAGATTAATTTAAATAGGAAATACGATTTCGATCGATTTTCAGTTAAAAATGTATCGTTGGTATCTGAAAAGTCTGAACTAATAAATGTGACCATGATAAAGTGACGAAATATGATTTACCCTTTTTAATTCAGCAATAATGTCCCCTGGCTCTAGTAATGGTGTACAGTCAATCGTTATCGCAGTGAGGTTCGTTTCTTTTACTACATATTCGATTAGTGCACTGAAACAAAAAACAACAAAAATACAATCAGATTCTAGATTCTATCAAATCTTGAGCCAAAAAATCTATACTAATATTATAAATGCGAAAGTAACTCTGTCTGTCTGTCTTGCTTTCACGCCTAAACCACTGAACCGATTTTTATGAAAGGCATAGAGATAGTTCGAGTCCCGGGAAAGGACATAGGATAGTTTTAATCCCGGTTTTTGAAACAGGGACGCGCGCGATGATGTTTTTCTGTGACAGACAAAATTCCACGCGGGCGAACCGCGGGCGAAAAGCTAGTGGTTTATAAAATTTAAAACAAAGCACGAAGGTTACCTCTTAGCTGAGGCATCAGGGCCTATGAGTAGTAGATGGGAGTCTTGCGACAGCGCACAGGCTCGCACTGCCGGCTCGCGGTCCGCCAGCCGCCTCGATAGATACAAATTTTCTGATACCCACTCCTCCGGAGACACTGCACTAGTGGGCGGGGTGCCTAACGTGTCTGAAAGCTGTCAGGAAACTTATAAGAAAATCTTTTGCTACTAAAGATGTCTAATTAGCATAGTACAAGAACATTGTTCAGAGTAACTACAGCCACGTTCGTTCATTTAAAAAAAGTTCTACAAACCTCTTGATGAAAACTGTCAATAGAGTTTTCTTTAATTATGCCCATCACACTTCTTTCGATCGCAAAATACGCAATGTCTTCTGGAATGCTGGAATTAATATTCGGTCCCATATTTTGGGCAATGTATTCGAACTGAGTTATTATTTGTTTTACCTATAACAGACAATCGATAAACTCATTAGTAAAATTGTTAGATGTTAGTTAGAAATGTCAATAAACAGATAACAAATCATGAGAGAATTATATTTACTGTGATTACATTTAAATAACAATATAACACTATTACTAACCAAAGAGAAATCGTAACTTTTAACAAGAACATTAGATTGATTAGCGCGGAACCATTCCAAACATTTCTTGATAGCTCGTTGGAGAAGAGGTGCTCCAACTTTTGATGCGTCATTCTCAAGTTCGATCTTGCGCATCCAATTATCCAGCACTTCTTGGGCGCAACTGCTTTCTTCACTGAAATAAATAATTGAAACATAAAGGGTAACAGTTAATATGTCAAAATGTGATCAAATGGAAGACACCAAGATGCCAGACGATAAGTTTTCTACTGGCTATTATTTTTGGGACACCCGACTTACTTCAACAATATGATCCCCATTCGCGACACGGTCGCCGGCGACGCGTGCTCCAAGCTGTGCGTCTCAAATATGAAGTTGACGTTGGAGCCGAATTGTATGCGCCAGCCGGAAGGCAGCGTGAGCAGACGGTTGTCATCTAACACAGAGTTCAGTGCTTCTATCCACTCGGGGTCGATGTCCCCGTCGCACACCACCCATGACCAAATATCTGATAAATTATTGCCAAATCTTTATTATCTAAATGACCTATTTAGTCTCTACTCTCCACTGCAAGAACACGACCAGACCAGAGGCAAATGGAGGATTTGGCGCCCTCTTTCTATGGATACCGTAAGAGGCTAAGGAAAGGAATAACTAAAGACTAAGGAGAAATGTCGTCTGGCCTCGTGAGTGTAGCATAATATCTGTATTGCTTTAATGTTAAAGTAGTGAGACATAATATGCCTGTCAAAGTTTATCAGTCGTTGTTTTGCATACAATATAAAAGCAGCCTATGTTCAGCTGTAGATATCTTAAAGCTAATGAAATGTATTGTGATAACTTCACTGTACCTGAAGGCTGGTTAGAGACTTCAAGAGCAGTGGAGGATATGACGCCATCGGTCCACTGGCGGGTGTCGTGGTCGATGTGGCCTAGCAGGGAGTTGCGACTCATTGCTTTCGGGCAAATCACGTATTCCACTATGTTTTTGCCTTGACTTGTAAGTGCCTAATAACAAAATTAATCACATATCACAATGTTAGAGGTTTTTGGGCAAGGTTTAGTATGTACAACATAACTACATACCGATTTGAGTAGACGCCTAATCGTGGTTTTTCCTGAGCCGGGAGGACCGACGATTACAACCCCCATTCTTTGTTGCAGTTGTTCGTATATTTCTGTACATTTTTGAATCTGAAAGCATGGATAATTAAAAAAAATTACTATGCTTGTCCATAATCATAATATCACACATAAAATAATTAAAAGTAGGATGCATACCTGTGATTTGTTGTTGATCAAATGCAAAGTTTCAAATGAAGTTTCAAGGGCGCTGCAAATGGGATCTTCATTTTGTTCTTCTTTCGGAACGTCAGCGAAAACCAGCGATAGGATGTCTTCAAATCTGAGAAATTTTAAATGTGATATGATAAACAGTAAAAGCAACACAAAATGTACACGCCACGTCTTAGTTATGACAGTTGTGTAGCGTTGACACACGCTAGAAACGCGTTTTGTTTGACAAGCCAGTATTTTTACGCTGTATCAAAGAATCACACAAAAGTGGGGTTATTCTGTTTCGCGAAGCCTATCTCTCAACGTTCTTCAGTGCGTGCAGGCCCCAGTCGTAGTGGCGCTGCTCGCTTAAAAGGTGCCTGCCGCGTGTTTACATAGAAGCCTACCTCACGGCGTCCTCCTGCGTGAGCTTAGACACGTTATTGAGTGTGAGCAGGCGCCGCATGGCCTGGCGCTGCGCGGGCAGCGGGTCGCGGCGCCGGGCCGCCAGCGCCGCGCCGCAGCTGCCGACCGCTGCCTAGTCGTAGTGACGCTGCTAGCTTAACAGGCGCCTGTCGAGTGTTTACATAGAAGCCTACCTCACGGCGTCCTCCTGCGTGAGCTTAGACACGTTATTGAGTGTGAGCAGGCGCCGCATGGCCTGGCGCCGCGCCGCAGCGGCCGACCGCCGCCCAGTCGTAGTGACGCTGCTAGCTTAACAGGCGCCTGTCGAGTGTTTACATAGAAGCCTACCTCTCGGCGTCCTCCTGCGTGAGCTTGGACACGTTATTGAATGTGAGCAGGCGCCGCATGGCCTGGCGCTGCGCGGGCAGCGGGTCGCGGCGCCGGGCCGCCAGCGCCGCGCCGCAGCTGCCGACCGCCGTCTAGTCGTAGTGACGCTGCTAGCTTAACAGGCGCCTGTCGAGTGTTTACATAGAAGCCTACCTCTCAGCGTCCTCCTGCGTGAGCTTGGACACGTTGTTGAGTGTGAGCAGGCGCCGCATGGCCTGGCGCTGCGCGGGCAGCGGGTCGCGGCGCCGGGCCGCCAGCGCTGCGCCGCAGCTGCCGACCGCTGCCTTCAGCGCGCGCAGCCCCCAGTCGTAGTGGCGCTGCTCGCTTAGCAGATGCCTGCCGAGTTTTGTACACGGGAACATGAGTGAACTGGTAATATTACGGGTGGAGAGTAAGCGCTCCTGCACACGACGCCGCCGCCGCGCCGTTATGCTTTGATGGCGCGGTGGTGGTGCGGCGGCGGCGCGGCGACGGGCTTTACTCGGTGTGTATGAACAGTGTAGGGGCGCGGCGACGGCGCAGCGGCGGCGCGGTGGCGGCGTCGTGTGCAGGAGCGCTAATCGATAATAGTTTAAGTTAATTTCTATCACAAGCTTTTGCTCGCAGCTTCATCCGTCAGTCTGCCACAGAAAGCCTTTATCTCGTGCATCCTGTGATTTTTCCTAAGTGCCAAATAATTTTTATATAAATTGATTACCGAATGATCGGTTCGATCGTGCGAGGCTCTCAGGCGCACGATCTAATGTGGACTTGCTGACCATGTTCGATACATGATGGATCAGCGCCGCGGGGAGCGGGGATGGGGTTCATGTCTCTACTAAAGCCTGGTCCGTGAGCACGTAGAATTTTGTCCAATGACCCCAAGCTACCCATCCTTGTCGCTCGCACGTAATTATGTTGCTGTCGCGCTCGCACACTCACTGCGGGCGCGCGTCGTACAGTCGCGACAGCAATATAATTACGCGCGAGCGATAAGGATGGTTAGCTTGGGGTCATTGGACGGGATTCTACGTGCTCACGGACCAGGCTTTACCTGGCGAGCGTGAAGACGCCGGCGAGGTCGGCGGCGAGGCGCGGCGCGTGCGGCAAGGCGCGCGCGGCCAGCAGCTGCGCGGCCAGCGGCGGCGGCGCCGGCGCCAGCATGGCCACGGGCCGCCCGCCGTAGCCGCGCCCGGTGGGGTTCATGTCTCTAGTACCTGGCGAGCGTGAACACGCCGGCGAGGTCGGCGGCGAGGCGCGGCGCGTGCGGCACGGCGCGCGCGGCCAGCAGCTGCGCGGCCAGCGGCGGCGGCGCCGGCGCCAGCATGGCCACGGGCCGCAGCGCGCGCCCCAGCGCCGCGGGGAGCGCGCGCCGCCCGCCGTAGCCGCGCCCGATCGGGTTCATTGTGGCCGCCACCCCGCACCACGGGGACACCTTTATCTGTAATTTTGTTGCAGTTCTGTAATAGTGCGATTCATGTAATCGTATTACGCTATACAGGGTGTTAGGTAAATGGGTATATGAGCCAACACTAACTCATGTTAACATGGTCATATAAATGGTATGGTGAGGTCAGAAATTTGATATCATCATTTTAGTTTTATTAATTTTCATACAAAACTAATTTTATTAAATCCGATTTGTATGAAAAATAAAATAATTAAAATGAAGATATCAATTTTCTGACTTCACCATACCATTTATATGACCATGTTAACATGGGCTAGTGTCGGCTCATATACCCATTTACCTAACACCCTGTATATGTCACCGTATAAGCCTAGGCGCACACCACTGATTTTTCGTCGGCCGACCGACAGTTGGGCCCGATTGTATGAAAAATCAATCGGTGCAATGTGCGCACTTCCATACATGCCCATACTGATTAACTGCCCAACTAAACTATCCGCCGACAAAAAGTTTGCACTCTGCGTCTAGGCTTCTTCTTCTTATTCGTTATGCTCTTGGCAGAGCGGTCGTGGTCACGTTGAGGCGTTGTTCACATCGGTTGTAGAGGCGGATACAACTCTCCGCACGATCTCCCTCCGTCTCTCTCTATTGGCAGACTGTCTGGTGCAGTCACATAAGCCGTCTCCCACTGCTGCTTTCACTTGGTCGGTCCAGCGCATTGGTGACCTGCCACGCGATCGGGTTCCTTCGACTTTTCCCTGGACGTCGCGTCTAGGCTAAGATTATAAAAATCGCGAGATTGTGAACAGGAACATACTGCTTACCATTTAAAGGATTATTTTCGGAAGACTACGGAGCGTGTCAATGTGATGTTATACCAGAGGCAAATGGCGGAGTCAGTCCACGCTGGAAGGACTTGGGGCAGACGTTGGGTAGGCCTTCCTTGTTCAGTTTTGTGTCTTCCATTGAACGCGTCCCCGGGTTGCGGATAGGGAAACATCTCTCAGTCATAAGTAGTACAGGTAACCGACAGCCGGTCGATCTCAGTAGCCCCATGCGCTAGTCTAGTGCTGCACCTGTTTCCCATTGAGTGGCAATCCTGTCGCCGCAACTTGCCGAATGCGTCAAGGGCCTTGACGCTCAAGGCAGCCGACAGCCGGTTGACCTCGTCAAGCAACCCCACGCTCTCCCCTGTCTGCACCTGTTTCCCGTTGAGCGTGGCGGTCCTATCACCGCTCCTTGCAGAGTGCGCCACGGCCGGCAGCAGCGCGGCCAGCTGATGCGCCACGCCGGCCAGCGCGGCGGCCGACAGCCGGTTGAACTCGTCGAGCAGCCCCACGCTGTCTTTTACACTAGTCTAATGCCTCACCTGTTTCCCATTGAGCGTGGCGGTCCTATCGCCGCTCCTTGCGGAGTGCGCCACGGCCGGCAACAACGCGGCGAGTTGGTGCGCCACGCCGGCCAGCGCGGCGGCCGACAGCCGGTTGAACTCGTCGAAGCAGCCCCATGCGCCGCTCAGCGCCAGACCAGTTAGCAGGCGACCCATGCACTCCGCGTCCATTGCCTGGAGAATACGCAAAAAATAGCTACTAAAATCGAATGTAACGTTGACGTGAATGATTCAAGGTGTGGAAAGATTATCTACTTCGTATTGAAGTCATAAATATGTAACCACAATCTACTATATTTTACGCTTACAAACTTTATGCCTAAATTATAAATGTTTATTGGTTGCCATCGACCATTGTTTTTAAAAAAATCTACAAATGTTCGCATGAAATCACGATTGGTAAAAATATAAGTAGGTCCTCACCTCGTCACAGTTGAAGACCAATACTAATCGACCGACCAAACCTCCTAAAGCTTTTACGGATTCCGTTTTACCAGTACCGGCTGGGCCAAATGGATTACCCACTAGACCCAGATGTAGAGACTGAAACGTCAAAAGTTTGTAAATCACAACAATAATCTCTTAAATTAATCAATAACACTTTTGAGTAAGTGCATGCATACCTGAGTCAATATAAGGAAACATTCATCAGCTAGCTCTGTTCTGACAAACTGTCCAGTATGAACTCCTAGGTATTCATAGGAGTATGAAATTTGAGCTAAGCCCATTTTAGCTACAATTTCTTTCGTATTTAATAAATAAAACCTGTAAGCAAAGTATTTTTCATTAATCTATTGTCATTTTCGACATAATACACGGCTTATTCACCAGAGCGACACTCTACTGATAGATTTTTATACTCACGCATCGCATAGGTAAGTAGCTAAAAAGCACGGTTTTAGTAGAACTGGAAAAGCAGCCATAGTGCTTTTAGGTTGTGTAATCGTATATGCCTTCTAAATCAAATTATTGTCTAATCCTACCAAACATTACAAATGTGTGATTCATATTAACAACAACAAAAAACTTGCCTCAGCTGTTTTTGCCAAAGCCAGTCGCTAGTCGACACAACGTTGCTGTCTATTAGACTTTGAACGACAACCATATAATGAGCACATTGTAATATGAGTGCTTGTTTCTTGTAACGCTCACTTTCATCCTCGATATCAGCAGCTGCATAATACGAGTTTTCTTTCTCGATGTTGGCTTTCAATTTGTGCAGTTCCTTTGAAGTGATCGCTCTTTCCGCCTGTTCGGTGAATCGGACGTTTTGAGCGAGGCACAGAATTTGCGCCGGCAGCGTAAATGGATCTTGATCTTGTAAGGAACTGGCTACTACGCATTTTAATATCATATTTTGCAACGACGACCTCATTTCACTTTCGAGATTCTTCAGCCAAATCTATCGACAGGAAAATAATTTTGTATACTTTTTATGCTTGAATTAGTATTGATGTATTAAATAAAAGTATAGTTGAATTAACTAGGTAGTAAAAAATGTACGAAGGTCGAAGCAAGTAGGAGCGAGTCTACAGTACCTCTAGTAGGAAAAACTTTCGAGTTCGTTTCGTTGCGTATTCAAAGTGTCATCGAAAAATTTTGTATGAAAAATTAAACAGCGCCCCCTAGGGCGGCTATAATGGGTCATTCCACCGGCCAAGAAAATCACGTGTCCGGGGCCAAAAAGTACCCGAATATCATAATATTTTAGTAACAAATATTTTTATCTAATAGTATAACTTTGGTTCTTGTNTTGTGCAGCTTGAGCTTCATCCAAAGCCTCCAAAACTTTATTAGCCATTTTTAATGTCAGATTTGCCGATTGATTCACCACAGTAGCATTCAGTTTTAACGCTTTGGCTCTTTCTAAGTCTGGCTTTGTTTCAATTATGATGTTTTCTATATTTGTTAGTTGCGATACAGTAGAGTTAATTCGATGTGATAATTCAGTAATTTCTTTGGGTTCTATGCTAATAGATAATTTGAGTATATCTTGCGCTAAAGTCCTTACATCGGCCGGAGTGTTAGATGTATTCGATAAGAACTCTTTTAACTCGGAAGTAAGTTCTAAACTTTCATTGGTTATGCGTTCAGCTGATGATTTGAAATCGTTAGCTCTATTAAATAAGTCGTTTGCTCTTGNTTTTTGATTTTGATTTTTGATTTTGATCATTCTGGCTATTGTTTTAGAGGTTCTGCTAAATCTTTATGTATACGAAACCTTCGTTTTCCACAGTCACGGTAATACTATCTATACAGTATTCCAACTCGGCCATATTTTTGAAATAAATGTCAACAGTCGCGCGGTACGTCACAGTATGACAACATGCGGTAGGGCTGCCCACCTACAGTACCCAGTTTAATTACATCTGCCTACTTAGAATTTCTATCTAGTTTTGTGATTGTATTTTTTTATTTAGTTAGACAAACAAAATACTTTATGAATGGAATAGGTTAAAAATGTGTGTCGTTTTGTGATTAGTAGATTTAATTTAGTAAAAACTACTCATATAATTTCGAAACTTTAATAATCATAATGATCTGTTACTTTAATTTCGGGCGGGCGAAGTCGTGGGCAAAAGCTGAGCCCCGATTACGGTAACTTTTTTAACGTCTACAATCCAGACGCGTTTCTGATTCTGCGATACGATTGGTCAAAACAGCTGACGTACGCTGTTGAACGACCAATCGTATCGCAGAACCGAGAAGCGTGTCTGGATTGTTGACGTTAAAATTTACCGTAATCGGGGCTCTGGTTTGATACAATATAATTTTCATTTCAAATCAAACTGACTGAAAATGTAAATTTGACTAGTTTTTGACCAATTTGACCGTAAATGACGGTCAGTCAAATTCAATTAGTTTTGTCATTTTTAACACTTGGCCACCGACGTCCATTCGGCACATTCGCGACACCCCCGACTTTTGCATACCGAGCGCATACCGAGATTTGAATTTCGAAAGAAAGTTCTCGTTTCGTCTGTTTATATGAAGTTACAATACTGTATGATATTATTACCGTGCCACAGTGGCCTCTCGAAGGGAACGCACATGATTTCTGGTTACCAGATGATATGTATTAGTCTCGCTTTCCAAGAAAAAAAAAGTTTTGAGTTTCAGTTCTAAGTATGGGGAGCCCCCAATATTTATTATTATTTTTTTATTTTTGCATCAAAATCTTAATGCGGTTCACATAATAAATCTANTTAACAAGATCAATACAAGATTGTTTTTCCGTTCCGCCAAACCGTTATCACCAACGAATAAGGAATGTGGCCTGTTTATCCCCGACCCCGACTCATAAACACAGGATTGCTCTGTCCGCCAGACGTGGACGCAAAACCAAAGGACCTTGGGCTTGGTCTTTGTTGTCGACACATTTCTCTGAAAGGCTGCAGGAATGACGGCACATTTTATTGTTGTCGCGAGGATCACCGTTCATCCATGTACTTAAAGGCTTTTTTCCAATTTAATACTATAAAAAGGCAGAGATCTTCGTTCACTGCGCAAGCTTAAAAACTTGTATCTACAGGGTGGACTTATATTGGTGGTAATTATACAGCCTATTAAACGGATAATTATACAACTTTATTCAGGTATATTAATTTACACATAATAATATAAAAACGTAGTCATTTCGTAGTACAAACTTAAGTATCTGTGTGGTGTGTAAATATTTCCTTTCTTGAAATAAAACGGACTCATTTATGTGTGAACAAAATATTCGTATTAGGGTAACCACACATCAGAAAATTAATAGATAACTAGAAAAAGTGTCCCTACACAACCTATACCACGATTAAAAAAATTCAAGATAAAGTAATACTGTTAAACATTTCTATAGATAGAGCATAATAAAAAAAGTATACTGATAACAAAATCACCAAGTATACAGGGCGATTTTTACTCAATCGTCGAATTCAACTCGGCTGGGCAGCGTCCGCCGGGAAGTTTCGCGATATTCTCACGTCCGAAATACCGCAGTGTCTTAAGAACTGTGCCACAGCGTACTGAAGAAGATAGCCGAAAGTGGGGATTGTCCACTGATCGGCCACATGCTCAGCAGGACGAGGTCGGTTTTGGAAATAACTACTAACATTAGCCTAAGTTTTTACTAACATTTATGGATCACTGTTCTTATCTACAGGGTGTTAGGTAAATGGGTATATGAGCCGACACTAGCCCATGTTAATATGGTCATATAAATGGTATGGTGAAGTCAGAAAATTGATATCTTCATTTTAATTATTTCAATTTTCATACAAATCGTATTTTATAAAATTTATTTTGTATGCAAATGAAAAAAATAAAAATGAAGATATCAAATTTCTGACTTCACCATACCATTTATATGACTATGTTAACATGGGCTAGTGTCGGCTCTTATACCCATTTACCTAACACCCTGTATATATTTATTATTATGAATTAAATACTTTTTATTTTATTTTATTTATTTAAGACTGACCAGTGTGTGTTGCCAGTGATGGTATACGGATCTGAGACGTGGTCGCTTACTATGGGCCTCATGAAGGCTCAAGGTCACCCAAAGGGCCATGGAGCGAGCTATGCTCGGAGTTTCCCTACGTGATCGAATCNAGATCCGGAGAATGACCGTAATATAGGGGGCGCTGTTTAATTTTTCATACAAAATTTTTCGATGACACTTTGAATACGCAACGAAACGAACTCGAAAGTTTTTCCTACTAGAGGTACTGTTCGTTTAAATATTAAAAGTAAATAAGTACCGTTAGCTCCTCTTAGTAAGCTAAATATGTAATATGATTGTGTTACGAGTGGGTTTACCACAATAGTCGAGTGGCAGCGGGCTTGAACCCGCGTTCCTCGGGTCACGAGTCAGACGCCTTCACCGTTCGGCTACCTATTTATTGTCACTTAATATAACAGTTTATACCTCTACTGGACAGTCTATATCCACTGGGTGGTCCAGTTGCAACGTTTCGTCGTACTGACTGCACAGTGCAGTTATGGACAAGTCCCCAGGACCTAGGCGCACCCCCGTAATGCCTGGGAACAGCTTCTTGAGATGCGTCTGCATGACTGCTTCCCTGCCTTCGGCTCCGGCTCGTGCTTGGCCAAGCAGTTCTAATAAATCGTCGTCGCTCATGAAATATAGTCTTGGGAATATGGAACGTTTTTCCTGCGAAATATAGAATAAATAAATTTATTTCTGTATAAAACTTAGCCTAGATAAGTACACGTTTGGTTTCAATTAAAATTAGTGCACGGACATAATTAATAATACCTAAACTAAACAAAAATATAAGAATCGTGCGTTAGGGCACGTAGGTGCTTTTATTGAATTAGGCAGCATAGAAATCTTATTTATCCAGGTCTCTTAATTATTTAAAACTATAAAATAAAGTACAAAAGGCGAACATAAGGCCATATTTATCCATATTATTATATTCTATCCATATGATAACTTTGGGGTCAAACAAAAATAGAGTAGATACTACAACCTGATAGCGTTTAGATTAACTAGAAAACTTACATCGATGTATAGATTTAGAGCTGATTGACAGGCGTGAAGTTGTTCTGAGATAGAATCGAGCATAGGCTGGAGTCGCGTCGACTGCAGAAGCGCAGACAGTCTGGGGTCTCCTTCCAACACACGCGTAACCTGTCTGAAGCCTTGATCCACTTTACGGAATTTTACTCCTAGTTCTCCATCGTCGTTAGATAGGATCGGTTCCAAATAAAGCCATCTGTAAGAGCAATTTATGGTAATCGATAATCATGTTACGCGCCATAATTTGCCATTTTAACAGAAACTCCAAGCGATAGAATCGAGCCATTCAATTTTTATAGGTGTGCAAAACAACTATTTGTCGGCCGTTTGGTGTAGTGGTTCGAAACGGACTACTATTCCGGAGGTAGCGGGTTCGATTCCCGCACAGTACAAACATTTGTGTGCATGAACATATTTGTTTGTATTGGACTGGGTGTTTTCTATGTATAATAAGTATGTAATTTACAAAAAAAAGTATTTAAGTATGTTTATATCCGTTGTCTAGTACCCATAGTACAAGCTTTGCTTAGTTTAGGACTAGAAGCGCAGTGTAAAATGTCTAAGGATATTTATTTATTTATTTATTATTATTTACTATTGTGTGTAAGCGGTTTTCAGGTTGTTTGGCTGAATCGGTAAATACTAGGTGGGTCAATTATTCAGGAGTTTTTGTCATACGGGTTACCGTATGACAAAAACTAACTATTAAAACTAAACTAATATTAGTTATAACATTAGTTTAGTTTTAATAGTTAGTGACAAAACAGCTCTAATGACTCACTGGCGTGGTAGTGCGATGATCTACCTTACACCTGGGTTTGATTTTAAGTTCAATCACAAATAAGATCACAAATGTCATGCTGAAAGTCATCGCTGAGTAGGTACCTCGTAACGAAAAGAACGTTTTCTAAAATGACTATGGAGATACATACAACCTTGTTGTTAAAAGTTATTGTTTTATGTCAAAAACTAGCTTTTGCCCGCGGCTTCACCCGCGTGAAATTAAGTTTGTCACAAATCGTCATAAATTATAGCCTATATGTTATTCTGGGTTATAAACAATAATACTGTAAAGTTTCATCAAAATCCGTTCAGTAGTTTTTGCGTGAAAGAGTAACAAACATCCAGACATCCAAACTTTCTCATTTATAATATTAGTAGGATTACCAGGTTATATTGGCCAACTATAGATATATAAGAATTTTGATGTAGTGAGTTGTTTGTTCTGTCTAAACAAACCTTATTTTGCATTTAAAAATGAATTTGTCATTAACTTACAAATTTTTACGTAAAGTTTATCATCGCTTTCAAGTAGGTATTACTCGTATGTAATTAAATAAAAAGTTACAAGATTGATGGCAAAGGGCAGAAACTTAACTAAATAAAAATACGAAAATTAGTAAAAGTTTTTATTTACAATTAAGTATCGGTGCGTTGGCATTATAATAAACTATGACCTAGTTGACAAATTGTATTCACAGTTTTGGTAAAAAATAATACACACAATCATAAAATTATTGATCAACGTATCTTATTAGACATATTATGTACTAGGTCGATAAATGCAAAATAATAAATATTTATGTTACAATTGGTATATGGCACATACAAATTAATATAACATACACACATAATATTCACACAATAAAATTATTAAGCTAAATATTCATTTATATACGATAATTTAAAAAATATTTATTTCAAATGCACAGATAGCGTCATAGTCATAGCACATTATTATCCTACAAAAATATAATAATTTTAGAATAACCAATATAATTGTTAACAAAGAATGCTTAACCTGATTTATCTTTTTATACTTACTATATTTCCTACAAGAACTATTCTTTGGAATATTTGTTTTTTTTTAAATCATCAACATTTGTTTCGTTTTTACTTCCAGGTGTTATTTATAAGCGGAAGAAAGCAGAGTGAAAATTTCTCATCTGTACTTTATTTAGATTTTTATGAAGCTTCTATATTTAGCAATAACTAAAAAAATATTTCAGGTGTTGGCACGATAAGTTGCCATGCAATAAATAAAAAATCCAGTCACACGATTCTCTTGCACTTATCATGCCAACGCCGCTGATGAAATGATCTTGATCAAAGACTTTCTCTAATATGTGAAATTAAGGAAATTTTAATTACTTGTACAAAAGGTGTGCTTATTACTTACAAAAATCATGTTTACTACACAGAATATTAGTAGAGGTTGTTCAAATGACCGACTGCAGTTACATAAGTTATTAAAATAAATGAAATTTTACATTACATTACATTACATAAGTATTCGGACATAATATAGATTAGACGCAGTCATACTACATCTCTCAAAAATGACTAAAACTGAACTATACAGTAGGTACTATGGCACTCAATTTAAAAACTGATAATGTAGTATAAGACTAGGCGCAGACCATCGATTTTTAGTTGGCCGACAGTTGTTGTGCCCGATTTTAAATTGTATGAAGAATCGGCCAAATCAAATAGGTGTAATGTGCGCACTTCCATACATGCCCATACTGATCAACTGCTCGACTAAACTATCGGCCGACGAAAAATCGATGGTCTGCGCCTAGGCTTAACAGTATTAATAAATGTGGCCACTTCTACGTCGTGCAAGACCTGTAGTGATCAGAACGCTTTGTGATTTCCGAAAGGTAGTAATTCATTAGAGTATTAAGCTCCCCTATTTCCTTTTCTAGAGTGTTAAGTGTGATAATGTAGTATTAACAGGATTAATAAATGTGGCCACTTCTACGTCGTGCAAGACCTGTAGTGATCAGAACGCTTTGTGATTTCCGAAAGGTAGTAATTCATTAGAGTGTTAAGCTCCCCTATTTCCTTTTCTAGAGTGTTAAGTTGGGCGTTATGATCGTTATACAGCTCTTCCATGTCTTGTTAGCTAGCACTTTAAGTTGCGACTGTGTCTCGCTAGCGAGTTTTGTAGCACGGTTTAGTAAAAGCTGCGCTCGCTCTCTAGAATTTTATGTCTGACTTGCGCGCTCTGCAAGGGACATGTTAGTCTGTTTGATGTCTTGTCTAAGCTGTCTTGCCTTTTGTTCGGCCATTTCAGCTCTATTAACGACATCGTTTGCCTCCTGCTTCACTTGTTCTGCATCACTTTCTATTTTTAGGATATCTTTATGTAAACCTGAAAGACGGAGTCGTAGGCCTTCAACTGCATCTTTTGTTTCATTCGCTTTCTTTTGTGCTTGCTCTGTCTCCATAGCTATTGGAACTAAATCTGCTTTGGCTGCATCAATGTCACTCTTAGCTTTGTTAATTGCATTTTCTGCAGCATTTTGTGCAGCTTGAGCTTCATCCAAAGCCTCCAAAACTTTATTAGCCATTTTTAATGTCAGATTTGCCGATTGATTCACCACAGTAGCATTCAGTTTTAACGCTTTGGCTCTTTCTAAGTCTGGCTTTGTTTCAATTATGATGTTTTCTATATTTGTTAGTTGCGATACAGTAGAGTTAATTCGATGTGATAATTCAGTAATTTCTTTGGGTTCTATGCTAATAGATAATTTGAGTATATCTTGCGCTAAAGTCCTTACATCGGCCGGAGTGTTAGATGTATTCGATAAGAACTACCTGGTTTAAATAAATTAAATGAAACCATCAATCGAGCTAGTAGGATTTATTTTATTATTCATCAATAATCAAATTCAGAACTACAATGTTTGCTCATGAACGCTTCAAACTCTGTACTCTTTCCCAATTCCATAAAATTCAACACTTACAAAGTGACAAAAAACTTTAAAATAGGTAGTTGAAACAAACCACAGCTAATTTTCATAGTGGCTGTACTATACGATAAATGTGTCAGTCAATTTGACAACCTTTGTCGGAAACATTATTCAATGAAAATATTGTCCGAACCCTTAGTATTTCTCTTCGACAAAGACCTACACATTGTGAACCACTTTTCTTTCACGGCTATAAAAAGTTTTTAGCAATTTAATTCACAAAATCAATTGCACACATTTAAAATAAAGTTTGTTTACACTTTGACAGCAATAGACAGTTAAATTATTGACATGCAAGGTGACATGTCAATGCAGTTTTTAGTTACTGTTGCCATTAAAAGAAATTAGTACCATTAGTTTTCCGCAACTTGGCGGGGGTTTTTATGTTCCTGGTCGGGCTATACATAAGTTATTAAAAAAAATGAAATATTACATAACATTACATTATTATACATAAGTATTCGGACATAATATACACTCGACATCAAATAAATCGCACCTTCCGCGACAAGCACTTTCAAACGTATGCATCCCTCCCACCAATATTGGCACCATTTAAAAGCCTAGTTCTAAACTTCATTTCATTAAAGGAAAGGTTTTTACCCCAAAAATGTGTCTTTAGAAGGATCCAGAGTCACTTGTTCAAAAAATAGGTAGTTACGCTTGAGCCATTTTTTATGACTATAAAACTGTTAAGTTGGGATTAATTGCTATCCATCTGTTAAAGAGGATACGTGATATCATTATTTGGTTTTATAACCATAAAAATTGGTCTAATTGATCCCAGAGGTGAGCCCAAAGTGAGGTCTATTTTCAAGTCACATTTATGGTATATGTTAATCATTTATTTAGAAACGAAATGTGTTTTTCTTTAAGGATATTTATTGGGCTTTTAAATAACACCAATATTGTTGGGGTACCATGATTGTGTCAGAAGAAAATCTTTAAAGTGCGCGTCGCGGAAGGTGCGGTTTATTTGATGTTGAGTGTAGATTAGACGCAGTCATACTACATCTTTCAAAAATGACTAAAACTGAACTATACAGTAGGTACTATGGCACTCAATTTAAAAACTGATAATGTAGTATTAATGATCAGAACGCTTTGTGATTTCCGAAAGGTAGTAATTCATTAGAGTGTTAAGCTCCCCTATTTCCTTTTCTAGTGTTAAGTTGGGCGTTATGATCGTTATACAGCTCTTCCATGTTAGCTAGCACTTTAAGTTGCGACTGTGTCTCGCTAGCGAGTTTTGTAGCACGGTTTAGTAAAAGCTGCGCTCGCTCTCTAGAATTTGATGTCTGACTTGCGCGCTCTGCAAGGGACATGTTAGTCTGTTTGAAGTCTTGTCTAAGCTGTCTTGCCTTTTGTTCGGCCATTTCAGCTCTATTAACGACATCGTTTGCCTCCTGCTTGACTTATTCTGCATCACTTTCTATTTTTAGGATATCTTTCTGTAAACCTGAAAGACGGAGTCGTAGGCCTTCAACTTCATCTTTTGTTTCATTCGCTTTCTTTTGTGCTTGCTCTGTCTCCATAGCTATTGAAACTAAATCTGCTTTGGCTGCATCAATGTCACTCTTAGCTTTGTTAATTGCATTTTCTGCAGCATCTTGTGCAGCTTGAGCTTCATCCAAAGCCTCCAAAACTTTAATAGCCATTTTTAATGTCAGATTTGCCGATTGATTCACCACAGTAGCATTCAGTTTTANGATACAGAGTACTGTCAGCTCGAAGTGCCTCCCAGGATGTGACTGACGATTGTTAGAGAATAGGTAATGGGCAATGCACAATGGAGCAGAGTATCTGGCGCCAGCGCGTCGCAGCCACACAATATAACGGTCACGGTGAGTCGCCGGACAAATTGACGGGCCCACCGTACCTGCCATTGTACCTACTGCAGGTACGCGCTAGAGTTTATTCCACCAAAGTAATAGAGAACAGCCCCCCTAGACAAAACGCACTTTTTGATCGAATCGAAAATCGAATCCGTCAAAACTCCATACAAAAAAGGGGCTTTTCGACCACTTTTCGACTGGTTTGCGATTATAATTTGCACTTTGTCTAGACCCACTGGAAGCGATATTATCTATTGCAATTGACAATAATCCAAAAATAACACTTAACTCCACGTAAAAGAGTTTTGTTCCAACTAGGTATTTTTTATTGTCCTTTTTGCCCACTGGCTGTAAAGTTTTTGTTGAAACTACTAAATTACTTTGATCAAAAACCTTCTTTGCGCTTGTAAAAGAAAAGATTTCACACAAAGATAGGGCGTGACAGAATACCTACCGGATAAATATGATGCACCAAGTATGTGCTTATGGCAGTATCGGTAATTTGAATGGAGTCATGTTCAAACGTTTCCAAGTGCAAAGTTTACGAGTGCACGCATTATCAACTTCCGTTCTAAGAAATGCGTNACATTGTTGACAATTCGGGAAGTTAAAATAACCAGGCTGACATAGGTCACATGCGCGTCCGTATGTATTGACTCTACATTTGCATTGACCACTTGTAGCATCGCAAAAATTATCAAGTGAACCTATGCTGTTGCAGTCGCAGCGCTTGCAGCCGAATTTACTAAAACCATATGTGCCTGGCGCACAGCGGTCGCATCTGGGTCCGACGATATTTTCCACACATTGACAGTATCCTGTGTAGGGATTACACTGATGACTTTTTGATCCTGAAGGATCACACTGGCATGATTCAGTGCCATTGCGGATGTAAAATCCAATACTAGCATGATATTTTTTGCAAATTTCTGGCACTGTGTCTCTATTAAGGCTGTAGTAATATGAATTTCCACAATCATATCGGTCAAACTCCTCTTTCAAATCACTTCTATTTGCGAAAAAGGGTATGTCATCAAAAGACGGAATAAGAACAATGGAGTCAATTAGTACTGATGCTCTTGCATTTGATGTTCGGCCATCTTGTCTTCCTAAATATATCCTTATTTCTGTATCTTTATCCTTTTCTAAGCACACTGGCGGCGTAACCAAAACACTACGTTGATTAGCAGGCAAACTTGTTGATACTGTATCATCTTCGGGACGCACATTTGCACAAGGTGAATCATAGTCTATTGGTAACGGTCGTTTTACTAATATAGTTGCTTCTTCCCAATTCGTAGGTGAAAGTGGTTCATATCTTATCAAAACGTTATAATTCATACTGGTCTTCAGATTATTGACTTTGAAAACTAATGTACTTCCTTCTGGTATTTTCATAAAACCTGGCCCAGTCCAAGTCTCTTTTCCTTCAGGGAAACTTTCCCTAATAACGACGTGACAAAGTTGACTCTGGATAGCATTATCGTCGATTTGAGAGTCACATTGGCTGGACTCTCCTTCAATTACAAAAGAATCTAAAGCTCCAACAAAGAAGTTTTGAATAGGTTGATCACAACGACGCCCAGTGACGTGTGAGCGACATTTGCACTGCCCAGTAATAACATCACAATCGCTATCGATCGATCCACCCAAGTCACAGTCGCAAGGCAAGCATCCGTCGTCACTATCAGCTAGACCATAAAATTCAGGCAGACATTGATCACAATTTCTACCTGTAACATGACGTTTGCAGAAACAGTTACCAGTGATTGGATCACAGCCTCTTTCATTAATCGTTCCTAGACTATTACACGTGCAAGAAATACAACCTTCAGGATTAAGAGGATCGAAACTCCAATAGCCGTCTTTACAAATCAAATCAAATCAAATNCCTTCGGTGAAGTCTCTACATTCTTTACATGCACCAGTTCTATCGTCACATTCCATTGCATGACCATTACAGTCGCATTGTTGACAATTCGGGAAGTTATAATAACCAGGCTGACATAGGTCACATGCGCATCCGTATGTATTGGCTCTACATTTGCATTGACCACTTGTAGCATCGCAAAAATTATCAAGTGAACCTATGCTGTTGCAGTCGCAGCGCTTGCAGCCGAATTTACTAAAACCATATGTGCCTGGCGCACAGCGGTCGCATCTGGGTCCGACGATATTTTTCACACATTGACAGTATCCTGTGTAGGAGTTACACTGATGACTTTTTGATCCTGAAGGATCACACTGGCATGATTCAGTGCCATTGCGGATGTAAAATCCAATACTAGCATGATATTTTTTGCAAATTTCTGGCACTGTGTCTCTATTAAGGCTGTAGTACCTAATATGAATTTCCACAATCAATAGTTTGACCGATAGGTCAAACTCCTCTTTCAAATCACTTCTATTTGCGAAGAAGGGTATGTCATCAAAAGACGGAATAAGAACAATGGAGTCAATTAGCGATGATGCTCTTGCATTTGATGTTCGGCCATCTTGTCTACCTAAATATATCCTTATTTCTGTATCTTTATCCTTTTCTAAGCACACTGGCGGCGTAACCAAAACACTACGTTGATTAGCAGGCAAACTTGTTGATACTGTAACATCTTCGGGACCCACATTTGCACAAGGTGAATCATAGTCTATTGGTAACGGTCGTTTTACTAATATACACTCGGCATCAAATAAATCGCACCTTCCGCGACAAGCACTTATCAAACGTCCACTTCCCACCAACATTGGTACCATTTGAAAGCCTAGTTCTAAACTTCATTTCATTAAAGGAAAGGTTTTTACCCCAAAAATGTGTCTTTACAAGGATCCAGAGTCACATCTTCAAAAAATAGGTAGTTACGCTATAGCCATTTTTTATGACTGTAAAACTGTTAAGTTAGGATTAATCGCTATCCATCTGTTAAAGAGGACACGTCGTGAGATCTTTATTTGGTTTTATAACCATAAAAATTGGTCTAATTGATCCCAGAGGTGAGCCCAAAGTGAGGTCTATTTTCAAGTAACATTTATGGTATATGTTAATCATTTATTTAGAAATGAAATGTATTTTTCTTTAAGGATATTTATTGGGCTTTCAAATAACACCAATATTGTTGGGGTACCATAATTGTGTCAGAAGAAAATCTTTAAAGTTCGCGTCGCGGAAGGTGCGGTTTATTTGATGTTGAGTGTAGTTGCTTCTTCCCAATTCGTAGGTGAAAGTTGTTCATATCTTATCAAAACGTTATAATTCATACTGGTCTTCAGATTATTGACTATGAAAACTAATGTACTTCCTTCTGATATTTTCATAAAACCTGGCCCAGTCCAAGTCTCTTTTCCTTCAGGGAAACTTTCCCTAATAACGACGTGACAAAGTTGACTCTGGATAGCATTATCATCGATTTGAGAGTCACATTGGCTGGACTCTCCTTCAATTACAAAAGAATCTAAAGCTCCAACAAAGAAGTTTTGAATAGGTTGATCACAACGACGCCCAGTGACGTGTGAGCGACATTTGCACTGCCCAGTAATAACATCACAATCGCTATCGATCGATCCACCCAAGTCACAGTCGCAAGGCAAGCATCCGTCGTCACTATCAGCTAGACCATAAAATTCAGGCAAACATTGATCACAATTTCTACCTGTAACATGACGTTTGCAGAAACAGTTACCAGTGATTGGATCACAGCCTCTTTCATTGATCGTTCCTAGACTATTACACGTGCAAGAAATACAACCTTCAGGATTAAGAGGATCGAAACTCCAATAGCCGTCTTTACAAATCAAATCAAATCAAATACATCTGTCACATCGCGCTCCATCTACATTAAGTTTACACAAGCAGCGTCCAGCGGTTTTATTATAAACTGCATCCGTCTCATCATCACATAGAACCTCCTGATCGGTAGTTCCTTCTGGGTCACAATCACATGGTTTACAAATATCAGGGCTTTGAATATCTAAACTAGGGTCCTTGAAAAACTTAGGCTTACACCGTTCACAATTAAGTAGTATTATGTTGACAATTATCACACACACCTCCACTAATTTTACCAGTTTTGTTGTACACAGCAGGGTCAAAATGACAGGTCGTTGCATGATTATTACACGTGCATCTTTTGCAAGCATTCGAAGTTTTTCCAACCGCTGGTTGCCAAGGAAGATCGTTGTAAAAATCTTCGCAGTAAGATTCACAATTAAGTCCACGCGTGTTGTGGGTACACTCACACCGTCCATGCACCATGTTGTTTTTTGATTCCACTCCCGGCATTGGCAAGCACCGAGATGCATGACCATAACAGGAACAAGAACCGCGAACCGTCATCTCATATATGGAGTAGTAGTATTTTTCTTGTATCTCATTTCTATTATCTAGTAAGTCGTCTCCGAGAGTGTGTTATTTCGTAAAGTTAATTCGTAGGTTCGTCATTCGTAATAAGTTTTGTACTTTTTCTGAATAACGATTCGTTACGTTTATGTTCGGAGGTAAGACTCGAAATATTACTTCACCTTCAGTCGACGGCGCTACTCCTGAGTACATGGATCCGCAAACAATTTCTGTCAGCGAGCGCTGGGAATGCTTTGGTACACCAGGGAAAGCATCGTCGCAGTTGTGTGCAAAGTATCGATAGACCCGCCAAGTTTTTCCAAAGTCAAATGATCTCTCCACCAACATCGCAGCCGGTCTGATGGTTTTAAACTGTATTATAAGATGCGTAAGATGAAATTCCGCTTCCATATCAAGTTGAATGGTAACATTTTCTTTTCCATTTTCCGATTGCCACCACGATTTTTTTCTCGTTCCGGGTAGAAACTTGTAAATTATGTTTTGAATTCGATGATTCAAGTGGGGTTTGTGTATGGTGCTGTTGGTAGAGTCGCACCAAAAGCATTTTTTCCGGTCCTCCAAGTGGGATACGATGCAGTAGCGTTCACGGCCGTGCACACCGCACGTGGACGAGGCGGAGAGGCGGGCCTCGCGGCCTATGAGCAGGTTGCCGGTGGCGGGGTAGCAGGAGCTGAGCTCGCAGGCGCGGTCCAGCAAGCGCGGGTCGGCGCGGAGGCGGTCGCGCTCGCGGTTGTACACGGCGTCGCCAGCGGCGATAAGCGCCGACACGATAAACAAAGCGCGCAGAGCCATGGCGCGCGTAGCGCGCCATGGCTCTACTCTTCTCGTGCTACTCTTCGCGCGCCTCTCACTGCACTGGGCACGAAGCCGTCTCAATCGCGCACTCTCGCGCTGGCTCCCGCCCCTCGTCCCTGGCCCCCGTGCCCTACATAGGCAGGTCCGAACTCAGACGCGATTTAAATTACTCAGCGCCCAACCTTTTTTTTTTTTTTTTTTTTTTTCTCCCGTTTATATCAGCACGGTCTGTCACAAACCAACGCGAAGCGAGTGAAAGAGAAAGACAAGTGTGTCTCTTTCTGAAAATTTCGCGCGAGACGTGCATATCTATCTATCTCTTTCTGACAGTGAAACGTTCGCCCCACTAATGGGTTTGCGCGCGCCGTTATAAATATTCTGCGCTCAACAAAAATTGACACAGAGACACAGAGACATCACATCACAAAAGTTCTCGCGTCGCACTCGCACGGTTCGGACGTCTCGCTGCGATCCGCTCCCCCCTGCCCAGACTGTCTGCCTTTTTCAAGGCGGTTTCTAGGCTTCCTGTTTCTTGCGTGTGCGCGTTCGCGTAAGTTGTTATTACAATAACGCGGGCGGGCACGCGGATTCGAACGCGTCGCGATTTGGCAAACCCACTCTTTATAGTGGTCGCTAAGCGGGATACCTAGCGGTGTTAACGAAGCTTAGTGGGCGTTGACCCGATATCGCCGACTTAATCCCTTAAGGACTAAGTTAAAATCGGANAATGAAGGCTTAATAATATTTGTTTGTGGCTTAAGCATTTAAGTATGCCACAAACAAATATTATCGGTAGTCGGTTTTATTCGGACTTTCTGGATTCATTCAAAATCAATTCCACTGACTCGATAGAGCTTATTAAATAAATAAGTATAATTAATTACATTGCTATATCGTCAGTGGAAAGGAAAAAATGCTAAAGCGCCAATTTGGCCAAAATGAGTTATATATGTTACGGTCAATGTGATAAATGTGAAAATTATGAATAACCGCCGGTTATTATGAATAACTAGCTTTCCGCCCGCGGCTTCGCCCGCGTGGAATTTTGTCTGTCACAGAAAAACTTTATCGCGCGCGTCCCTGTTTCAAAAACCGGGATAAAAACTATCCTATGTTCTTTCCCGGGACTCAAACTATCTCTATGCCAAATTTCATCAAAATCGGTTGCGAGGTTTAAGCGGGAAAGCGTAACAGACAGACAGACAGACAGAGTTACTTTCGCATTTATAATATTAGTTGGGATTGGGATAGTTGGGATTACCTCATGATTTGGTAAATGTGATCAATATGAGGTCATTTATGTGTGTATAAAACTAAATAGGCGGCTTAGGGGTGGCCCAAGGGCCACCCCCGCCGCACCTTAACCTATTTTTCACTTTAAATCAAAACATTATGTTATGGGCATCATTGAAAAGTAATATTATGCAAGAAACATTCCAAACTCATTATGCCAAATTATATTAATATATGATATCAAAACGTTCAAACATTTTGGCTGTACAAGAGCACGTACCTACACAAGATAATAATAATGTTATTTTGTGATATTTTATGATATTTGTCAGTATTAAGGTTGAATTATTAAATAATCACTGTTAAATGTTATTAATTTATCACTTTTACCGCGAATGTATGTCGGTAATTATTAATAATAACCGGTTATTGTTCATAATTTTCAATTTATCACATTAACCGTAACATATGCATTGTTGGATAGGATTTTTTTTCTGCGTCGATCTGTCTAGGTTTCAACTCAATCCGAGAACTTTTTTGGCGCTTTAGCATTTTGAAAATTTTAAGTATTCCTAAAATCACCGCCCTTGTCGCTGCTAAAACGACGTGTTTTCAGTGTTTTTGCAACAAGTGTCGCGTAAGGTTTTTTTTGCTGGCAAAATATTTTTGCTTTCACAACTTTAAGTATGATTCACGAGAAAGAAAACATGTGGGATGGAATCTATGGAATCATCGGGAAAGCTCAAGGACGACAAGAGGACATGCTCCTCAGAGGCGGGGCAAGACCTAAATTTGATGTGGGCAAGACAGATTTCGCGAGGCCTTGTTCTGTGGCGACCTGAAGACGGATTTTATGAAATAACAAAAAAAAGGGTCAAAGGTCTATACATTGACAGTTTCTGATTTCTTGATTCAGTGATTATTTTTAAAGGAATATTGCGCCAAAGAATAATGTTCGTCACTTAAAACCGTGTTGTTGCTTAATTTTGTGTCTGATTATGGCTGAATTTGTTTGGAAAAAAATATATTTTTATTTTTAACTACATTGTTTAGCTATCAAGAATTTATATTTAATAGTCAATGTTCGTATTGTGATATTGTCATCTCCACCTTGTATACATTTTTTCAAAATTTTTGATGCGCGAGGCCCCTTGTACCGCGAGGCCGTAGGCGGTGGCCCACGTCGCCTACGCCTTACGCCGCCTCTGATGCTCCTGAATGGTTTTAACGGCAAGGCACTCTGCCCAGAACAATCGGCTGACCGTCTAGCCAACACCTTCTATCCAGATGATTCCGTGACAGTACACACGCGTCTCCGACAACTGATAGAGAGCGAAATTTTAGAAGAGCAAACAGCAAACGACCCCCCTTTTTTCCGGAAGATGGAAATTGCAAACAAATGCCTATCTATAGCGTATTTCCCCAAAAAATGGAAGACGGCTCACTTCATCCTCAAGAAGCCAGGAAAAGACTTGTTAAGCCTTCAGCCTGGAAGCCAGTGAAGTGAATGGGCTGTCGGCTCACCCTAACAAAACCTATTTCACTTCATTAAACAACATCTCAAAACCTCTTTGTGCCTTTGTTCGAAACAGACTAAACTGTTCTGTAAAATAACGCCCTCAACCTTTTGTGAGTTTGATAATTGTTAAGCACTGCTATAATAACGCCAACATATTTCAAACCATTCAAATCTTGTTTTGGTTTTCATTTTGAGATAGGACTTATAAATGGAACTCTTCGTTCTGGGAATTTATTTTTAGCGTACTGATAGCTTAGTAGTTTGACAATGACAATAATGCTAATTTTGGTGGTTTTAATTCATCGTTGTTTTCCTAATGAATAATGAAACATAATTCAATTATGAAATATTTATTATTTCTCTACAAATCTTGTTTGACTTTTTAAAATTGTCCTTTGTTCGTGATCCGTTAGATCCGCATAGATTAGTGTCCCAGAGATGATTGAGACCCGTATTTTGAATCAAAAGTTGATTCAAAATTAATCATTTTTGCGACTCTACGATCGATTGCGTTTAGATTCATATTTGAGTACTTAATACGCTGTTTATGTTAATTCGTTGTTGACAACTGGGTGGTCGTGATGAGTGACGAACTGGCTCAATGGCGGAGATCGCGAATGCTTTATCGCCGACGGATGTGCAGGGCGGAAAGCGCGGTATCGCCCGCCGCATGACCGTATCTAACGTTTATACTTAGACCCGTGACGCTTTAATTCCATTTTTTAAATATTTTTATCACACAATTTTAAACTACAATATTATTATCATTTATACATATTACATTTGTACACTATGAACATAATCCGTAAGTTGAATTTAATTAGAAGCGAATTATAATTCGTATGCCATACCTACAGTCTACACCTACCTTAAAAAACTTGATGTGTGTTGATAATGAGCCAGATAAGGTTCATTACTACCTTAAGATTGATTAAGCGAAATCATATCGCTCTCATAGTCTACTACCTTCTCACATATAGTCCAGTCATTATAGTAAGTTCACCTCGGAATTCGAGATACCCAGCTGTAAGTCTGTAAATACGTGTATATTGACACCCTAAAAGTTGTCTCAAAACCTACATATGGTAGGGTGTAAGCAACTATTAAATTTCAAAGTCAACGGTCACAAAAATCGGTTTTTNCTGGAGTAATAAACTTTGTCAACTTTCTTGACCTCATTTTTGTGCTTAGTGTAATGCAATTTCATGTATTATGTATTATCAAAATTGTAACATAGGTAGGTTGCTTAGAAACTTCTCTATATTTCCAAAACTATCCATATAAAAACTTTCTCTTTCTCCTGACCCAATAAAGTTTAAATTAATAAGATAACGTTATAATAACTTATGAATGAGGCGTAACTCTCTTACTACGTTAATGCTACACAATAGAACCTTCATTGCGAAAACGCAGACACGACTTGCCCATATTGTTTACATCTTCTCGAAATATGTCAAACCATATGCGCTCGCCGCGTCGCCGGTCCCAAAGGCTAAGCCGAGACTAGGAAGGGTCCTGTTGCCATAATAATGGCCAAATCAAAAAGGGCATCCCGAAATGCGTTGTTATTTTTGTTGGTAAGCGCGTTTCGGAGAACGGTCAGAGGCGTGCGGGCGGGAGCGGTCGTCGCCTCGCACAGGGCCGCACTAGTCGCTTATAAAATGTGCATGTATGTGTAGCTTTTTTCTTACGAAAAGATATTATGAGAATATTAAATCACCACTCAAAAATAATTCCAAAGTAAAATATAATTGAATTTTCCATGTACCCATGTTGGTGTTTTGAGACTGTTCGTCATTAGTTTTGTCTTTGACATGTTCATAGCTAAACCTGTTTTTCGGCCATTCTCAGAATGAGCTAGTTTTTGCGTGTCCGGGCTGTTAAATCGTTAAAAATGACAAATTAGAGACATGCAAGTATTTTTATATGTTACTTAACAACCCTATCCAGTTGTGCATTAAATCATAGGCCTCTATTTTAAGTATTTGTGACTTAATTAATTTCATGAACCTCTGTTCTCTAATTACCGTTACGCGTCCGCACACCGACTTAATGTTAAAAGTTGGTTGTAATTTTTATCTCGTATAGATTTGGTTCACTCCATTCAACATTTTAAAGAGTACAAAAGATTGTCTTATGCATAGCAAAATATCTATTCAATAGAACAATTCTGTAAATAANAAAACAAAAAGCGCATCCCGAAATGCGTTGTTATTTTTGTTGGTAAGCGCGTTTCGGAGAACGGTCAGAGGCGTGCGGGCGGGAGCGGTCGTCGCCTCGCACAGGGCCGCACTAGTCGCGTTTATAGAAA